GGGCATCCACAACCTCTCTGGGCAGCCTGTTCCAGCACCTCACCACTCTCTGTAAAGAATTTCCTTTGGACATCCAATCTGAATCTCCCCTCCTTTAGTTTAAAACCATCCCCCCTTGTCCTGTTACTGTCTACCCATGTGAAAAGCTGACATGTACCAGTAATAAGTAAAGTGGTCTTCTAAGTACGGTGATGAGGAAAGAGAACAGTCAATTTGATATCCTGTGTTTCTTTACATTTTTGTGGATTCTGTTGATTTTACACGAGGAAACATTTGATCGTTTCCATGAAATATTGATCCACTTCCATGGGAGCTGTGATGGATAGAACAGGTCTTTGATGAGCTTTTTTTGTCTCATTAATACGCTTTGTATCTGAGCCTAAAAGTTAACAAAGACAAATACAGAGATGGCTTCTGTGACTTTTAATTAGATAGATCCAATCTGTCTGTATAGGAAGCCAGTTTGTGCTTTAATTATAGATGCATCCCCTCAAAATAATTGTTTGAGTTTCCTAGGTATGTTCTAGAACTGCCTTATTAATTAGCAGCTGAATGTTAGACTCAAGTAAGTGCTTAATGTGGGCTGACTGCGTCTTATCAATAGACTGTCTGCTTCTCATCTTAAGTAGCAGCTGCAGACCTGGTGCATCTGGATTTCCACAGTGCACCAGAAGCACATTCTTTGCTGAATACCACCACTCTCCATACACAGTCTGGATTTGGGAAAGCGTCTTGTGGTGTTTTATCTCCACTATTCAGGACTCATTGGAGTAGCATGGCTGGTCATACAGGATAACAGGCTTTCTTGTATTTTGTGCCTGTTTCAACAAAGCAATGTTTCAGCTTAACAGCAAAGACGAGGCTGTCATTTCTAATGCTTACCAGTTTTGTGGAATTTCACTTCACAGCATTACAACATCAGCTTTTCAGATGAATAGCACTGCTTGTGATGAAGTATTTCAGAGAAAATGTGTTTTGGAGCTTGCTTTCCCCCTTATTTGGAAGGCGTGCATGTTGCAGACATAAAATCAAAGCAGTATATTAGAAATTTGATTGAAGACTGTAAAAAACTTCTCAAGAAAAGACTCAGCCCAATTTGTGTCATGTTAAGTAACTTATGTCAGTGGCACATTGAAGTCCAACAATATAGTAATTGAGCACTTAATAGGAAAAGTATTTTATTGCTGACAGAATACAACTTTTTGAATTACTCCCTTAGGTAGAAGGATTTTATAAAGATATACTTCTTTTACTCCATTAGTCTGAATTAAATTATAATTACAAATACATTTTTTTAATTGTAGGCTCGATTTCAAAGTATGTCTGTATGTTTTATAGAAATATATTAGTGATGTTCAGAAGTAATGGTACTGCACTTACCATTTCTTTTAGAGGCTTACTGTTTTTACATTTTTCATATTTTTAAATTTAGAACATTGTTTAACAAGCAATTGAAAGCAGTTGAAGCTGAGCTAAATGTGCTAAATTGATGATTTCCTCAGTAGAACTTTATTTTCTTCATAGTGTCTTAAATCTGTAAAATACCACTTACTTTTAGTAATTTTTTGCCAGTGTAGAGAGTAATTTGTGTATAGATTATTTGGGTTTGATTTTTTGGGTTTGAGTTTGTTTGTTTTGTAGTGACAAAATCTCACTACAAAATTATGAAACTACACTTACAGGTTGTAAAGTCTTCCTTGGTATTTACCTGTGCCTGGAACTCTTCAATACTAGCTCGGTGAAGTTATTTTATGTATTTAAAGAAATATGCAGTTCTTGGGTACTGAATATCACTTCTGGGATACTGTAATGCAAGAACTGCGTAAGTAAGCAATAAGAAAAGAAATAATAGGCAGATGAGACAAGAAATATATTTTAAAACTATACTACTCAGCTGCAGATATATTTTAAAAAAAATCTAGTGTTAATGTTGCTGGAATAAAATATTTTTAAAGTCCGTTTGGGGATTTTTTTTTTCCATTACATTTTAATTTGTATGTTTGATTATAATTCTATTTAGCGTAGAGAAACTGATACTTTCCATTGTACAAAAAAAACCAAAAACTTTTTACTGCTTTAGTTTCAACTAAAAGCTTGCTTGCCAATGAGTTATTTAATGCTGAATTTAAAACTTTAATTTTAAATTCATGAATTCAGTCTTTTTTTTTTTTTAAACAACTTGGACCCCTCCCCCCCCTTTTTTTTTACTCCCCAATTCATGTTTTTTTTTTGAATATTTAAAATATTGGCCAAATTGTAGGCTTTCTGTCAGGAACTTTCATTTATTTACTCACTAGATTTATGCATGCCCAGTGCTACTGCTGCACAGCACAGCTGAGTTTGCAGAACAATTCCTACTTTCATTTTCCAAGAACAGAGAGAAAAATGAGGAAACCTATGGCTGGACACATGAAAGCAATCAGTTTCTTGGAATTTATGGAAGTTTGTAGCAGGTAGGAGGGATGAAAGGGATAGAAGACCAGGGATTCGTGTGTGGGGTGTGGGGGGTGGTGAAGATGCAGCTTAGAATAAAGGGGCGTGCTGTGAGGGGCACAGGGATTAAAGTACACAGCTGAAGAGCAGACACCAAAGCCAGTAGCAGAAGGAGAAAGAAGATGGATGATGGCAGAAGAATGGATGGGGAGGAACAGCATGACAGGGTAAGCAGATGGACAAGGGAAGGTGAGCATGCGGAAGCCAAAAGAGAAGTTTGAGAGGATCTTGCTACAGCAAAAACTTTGTGGAGGATACTAGGTACAGGAAAGAACCAGAGAAGGGGTAGTAGGGAAACTTGAAGGCAGGAAAGAAGAAAGAAAAAGAGAGCAAAAATATCCCTGAGAACTAAGGGATTCATCTCTGCCTGCTGGAGTTGGGTTTATTCCTGCCTGAGTATTTCTCTATTGCAGAGAACTGAATCTTGGAGGCAAAGAGTTGGGGCCAGTGTATGCAAAAGGGAATTGCTTTTTACTGAAAATTGGAGTCCATTACTGAAAATTGAAGAGCTCTGTGTCACAGGTCCCAGCTTGCTGACACAGCTCAGGGGGGCAGTCTGGCTCCATCATTTTGTTGTTCTTGCTGTAGCTCTGAAGTCTTTTTAAAGGTGTGAGAACAACCCTAAAAATAGAAATGCAAGATCTCAAATGTGAACTTAAGCCCTCAAAATTCGAGAACTGCAGTAGCTAATGCCTTGTGTGGTTATGCAAATGGTAATAATAAGCTCTTTAAAAGTAGCTTGTGAATATGATCACATACTTGATATGGTATTAAATTTTTTATGTATTATAAGTGGTTATATAACTTGCATTTCATAATGAGCATGTAAGTATTTGTATAAAGACAGTCAGGAAAGTAGTAAACCCTTTGTGTAAATGCAAAAACCCTTTGTTTTCTTGCTAAAAGCCTGCTTTCTTTGGACATTTGTTGTATGACTGTGTGCTAGTAAAAGAACTGGTCTAACAGTAGTGTTATGGAGATGTGTTCCATAAAATCAGATAGTGAAGATGTCTCGTAAGTAATAAATAAAATTTGTTTTCTGAAGATTAAGAGCATGGCGAAATTACGAAGGGTGTCTGAAATAAGTCACTGTCCTTACTGAAATTAGGGTTTTTACCCAGTGGCTATTAAATGATCAACACAGAGCTTGTGGACATCCTGAGAACTGTTCTGTAATTTTTTTTTTCTGTGATTTTTCGAATGACTGAGGTTCTTTCCCATAATAAAGCTAAAAAATGCCTGAAGTGCAGGTATAGATAGAAACCTCAATGAGAAGTAACTGTTTCTTTCAGGCACTGAAATTAGCCTCTAGCTTGAAACTTTAAATTTTAGGTTATTAGAGCTTTTGTTTCCTTACTTTTTAAAAAGCACTGTATGTTAAATGTCAGAATTGTCTACTTTTTCTTTCCTTAGGTAAAAACTTTCAAAAATAGCTCTTTGATTATTTAAGACCGAACTTCTATATAGCACTGTTACTGAAAAAGATATTTGAAAGGAGCTGTAATTTTCAGTCCTAATGGCGCAACTGCATTTTGCTAACATACCGTAGTAATACCCTAAGGGATGAAATAGGGACAAGGTTCAGAACTCCCATTTAAAATTAGCACTTGGACAGAAATGCTTTGGAAGAACAAATCCAAAGTCCTGTTCTGTTTGTTCTGTTCTAGCCAGTATCATTCTTCAGAGTCCTTCTCGGTACCATTTGCACCCTTTCTTTTTGTAAAGAAAATTCTAATTGCATTGCCTGATGGTCTTCTTACTACAGTTCCTGCTCCTTAATTTTCCATCTTAGGAGTGCAGTTACATCATTGTAGATAACAGCCAGTAGAGTTGGTAATTTTTGCAACCAATTCAACCTTCCGCTGCTTTCAGACCAGGTTTTATTCTTGAGGTATATAGTTTGTAAGTTTGTCCTGAGCAAAATGAAAGATTGCAACCTCATAATTGCTGTTGATACTATTTACTCTTCTTGTGTGGCTGTTTTGCCTGGTAATCTGTGTATTCTCCTCCAGCTCTCGTGTCCCTCTGTCTGTACTGGTTGTATTGATTAACTATTCCGCAGATTCTAGAATGTGGTCTACCGTTCTGTCCTTAACTATAGCTAAGTGCCTGTTTTGTGAAGTATTCTCTTTGGCATCATCATTAGTTGTGGTCCTATGTGTATTTTATTGGGATGAAGGAGGAGGAGGGTTGTAAATACTGTGCACTGGGGTCTGTTCTGGGAAGTCTACTGACAAAAAGTGTTGGAGTGCACAACTAGTCCTGAAGTGTGATTAATGAAAAAATAGAGGTCCAAATAATTGTGTTATTATACACTTCTTTGTTTCTTCTTATAGTTAGTCTATCTTATTTTCAAACTGATATGTTGAATTTAATTCAAACATTGCAGTTTTTGTATTCACTTCATCAAAATATTGCAAACCATTAAAATCCATGCATGAAGAAGTGATCACACATCTTCCTCTGTTTGAGAGATTACACATTTCTTTCTATTCATATTCCTCCAGGTGACTTGGATTATTACTGGCTGGATCCTGCCACGTGGCACAGCAGGGAGACATCTCCTATTAGTTCGGTAAGCAACAAGGAAAAAGAACGTTGTAAGTATGAACTAAAATGATTGCTGATAATTTCAGTTTGCTATACATATTTAGATATTTTAAAAAAATTATGTACAGTGAGTGTGAAAATTTGGTTTCGTGGATCATGAAAATAAAAATCAGAAAGGATTTTTATCAAAATCTCTACTAATTTTTAATAGATTTCAAATCCAATACTAACCACAGAAGAAGCAGTGAATGTGGTACTGCTCCCGGAGAAATTAGTAATATTTTTTTCTATTAGAATGGGAAAGGATATTATTGTATAATGAACATGTATGCTTTGTGCAACATACATTTTATACTACAGAACAGAACTTATAATTTTCAGGGTCCTGAAATCAATAGCAAATGTCTAATCTTATTAGTAGCATTCTATTTTAAATAATAAATTGTATTAAACATTTAATTGTAATATAAACCTAGCTGTAGACTTACTGCTGAAATTTTTTACATAGTGGTTGCATTTTTATTTTTATTTTTGTTCACTGCTTGTTTTTATCAACAGCATCCAGTAACGTGGCAGCCTTCTAAAGAGGGAGATCGCTTAATTGGGCGTGTTATTCTTAACAAGAGAACAACCATGCCAAAAGAATCAGGTGCATTACTGGGGCTAAAAGTAAGTGCTACATGCTTCATGGGTTAATGAATGACATTTCTGCTGACCTGACTGTTTGGAACCTTAATGCACCAACTCAGAGTACTCTTCAATTACTCCAATTCATTTAGTGTCCCAAATTACTCATTTTGTACTGGACTTCACAGATTTTTGTCCCTAAGATGCCAGAACACTTAAAAGGAAGCCTTCTGGAGACTGCTGGCCAGTACAGTGTTCAAAAATATGTGTATTTTTATTAATATGGAGCTCCAAAAATGACTGAGAAACTTAATTTAGGTGTCATCCTCTTTCCACTGAAACCAATAGAAACAGAAAACAAGAAACAGAGGAAACATTCCCATTCATTTACAACTAAGTCAGCTTCTACTTGTGTTCAAGCTCTCACATGTGGTCTAGGTTGCTGGCTTATTGTGGTGGGAATTAAATCAGGAAAAACCCCTGTGAACTTGGTAATGGCATGTCACTTATTCCTCTCAAAGGGAGAGAAGATAAAAACAGCTTTGTTCTACTAAACATTTTGTAGTGTTTTGCACAAGGCTGGTTTTTGCTAGCAGCAAGCATAATTTTCTTAATGTGAGACAAAAATTTGGCCCCAGTAGGGAACATAGATTGAAAGGCTTCTCTGTTTTTTTGTTGTTTTGGTTTTTTTTTCGGGGGAGGTTTTGTATGATGTAAACTAAGCTCCAGGTAATGCATTCACTGGTAAACTTAGCACATTCCCTTTTCACAACCCTGTTGGCGGGTAAGCTTCTGGGTCTTTATGGGTATGGATCTATATGAAAACTCTTACTAGTAAACCATGTAGGCAGCATGAAGTAATAATACCTAATGAACTACCATTTTACTGTTTCATTTCATTGTAAAACTCATCCTAGAATATTCTTGACAGAAGTACTGACTTCAGAGAATGAGATGGATAGAGAGGATAGCAAGTCAGCAACAATGCTTCTTTTGTTTTATATTTTATCAAAAATTGAATCACCTGAGAGACTTTTTCTTTTTCCCCTTTGTTTACCCATTTGTGTAACAAGCAGACTGCTTCAAAACAAAACACCATTCAGTTCTGTTTAATAGAAGACAGAAGTTGATCTTCTGTCTTCTGATGTGCTTGGATGGGAGGCCAAGTTTTTAACTGTAGCAGTGTTTGTGTGAACTATTTGCAAGTGTTCCTTTTTGGTGTATTGGCTGATTTTTTAGTTGTACCACTAATGGTGTTTTGGGGATTTTCATGCTTTTGGTTTGATGTTCACTTGCAATTTTCACATATATTTGATGTATGTCTGTGGCTTAGAAACTTACCAATTTATGATTTTCCAGGTTGTTGGAGGAAAAATGACAGAATTAGGACGACTCGGTGCCTTCATTACCAAAGTGAAGAAAGGTAGCTTGGCTGATGTGGTGGGGCATCTCAGAGCAGGTAAATCAATCAAATACATACAAAATATATTGTTCTTGACTTCTTGTAATGCATTTGTTAATTTATATTAACATCACTTCTTTGATATGCTAATATATGGTGAATAGATAAAAAACACTGTAATGTTCTTATGGAATGCTACAATTTCCTACATTTCTAGCTTATTAATGACTACATTTGCTTGGATGTATGAAAAAAATACAATACACTTCTGGTCTGTGCTGAAGTGCCATGGTTGAATTTAACTGGTATATGTTTGCTTTCTTATCTCAGGAGGTGTTTTTTATACTCTGTAGAAGCAACATAAAAAACTTATGAAACTTACTCAATTGTGTCAAAAACCCACTGCAGTAATTTTAATAACACTGCAGTGTCACCTGAATGATGGATGCAACAGACATTATTAATCCTTTCAGCGTGAAATGCTACCAAAAAAAAAAAAAAAAGAAGAAAAACAGCTCTATGAAATGATTCTGAAGTATTTAAAGTATTTAATGTACATAATAATTATTTATTGCTCTTGCAAGTGGGCACATGATGAGTCTCCAAAAGTATCCTAGTTCGTATTGGCATTTGTTACTTTTTTTTCAATTTGAAAAACAAGTTGTTATTAGCACCCCTTATTATAGATTTTAAGTGCAGAATGAGTTACTGAAAATTACAAGAAAGAAAATAAGGATATGTGTGGTATCAGATAATGGATGCACAATTCTGGCCAATACATAGGATGGCATGTGAGAGTGTAAGATTACCTTATGGTTCCTGCAGTTTAATTGAATACACTGATCTTTATTAAGAAACTATAATTAAATACTTTTATCTTTTCAAAATAGTACTAACGTGCAATGCAATGTACATATTATTAAAATTCTGGAAGTGACAAGCTGAAAAAAGACACTTATCTAAATATCGTTTACATCAGGTTTTGGTTTCTCTTCTTCTCTGGCATCCTTAGAAGTAATGATTTAATTCTGACTTTTCTTTTTGCTCATTTGACACAGACAATGAAGACTTTCTGTTGAGAATTCAAACTGCACAGTATATAAAATGTAATGAAAAATGCTGATTAAGGTTAAACATTAGATATTTGTTTCCATTTTTTGAAGATTAATTATTTATTGCCAACATTTATTACTGTGAGTTAAAGTTACTGTTAGTAAAGTTTTACTGTTAAAGTCTTCTTCTTAAAGAGACTTTTATTGTGTAGCACAGTAATGTTTGCTGTATTACCTCTGAAGTACTTAATAAATTAGGACAATTTGTTTCATTCATTTTTTTTTGTAGAAGTTGTAGCTACATTCTGTGAAACAAGCCTTGGTAGTGTCTCAAAAACCATTTTCTGGATTTCAACATAATTTGTAAATTTATTTTGAGCAATGTAACTTAGTTATGTACGTTTCATAAATGTTTTGTGCTTCTTTGCAAAAGAATATTGAAATGAATTAAAATTCTCTTTAACTTCAAGGAGATGAAGTTCTAGAATGGAATGGTAAACCCTTGCCTGGAGCTACAAATGAAGAAGTTTACAACATTATTTTAGAATCAAAGTCAGAACCTCAAGTTGAAATTATTGTTTCGAGGCCTATTGGGTAAGGCTAAATACTAGCTTCTTAAGTACAGTTATTAGTCCTACTAATTGGACTTCTAAAGAGGTTATTTGTGAGTTCATTGTTTTTTATCTTTGAATAATGGAGTGTGATTGACTTTCCATTGCTGACATTCTGTACATTCCATTTTCGTCATTGCCTGTTGCAGTCTTGGGCCTTTATAGTGATTTATCAGTATAAATGATTTGTTAGGAAGCAAGCATTGAGTATTGCAGGAATTATGTCAATGCTAGTGGGATTTTAAAGAGGTTTTCTTTAAAGAGAGGAAAAAAGAAATACAGCTGTAACTGAAAAAGCTGTATTTGGCTTTTTTCTTTTTTTTTTTAGAATTATAATTTTTATTTATTATAAATCTGCGTTTGGTGTTTGGCAGTAACAATTCTTGCATTCTTGATTTCTGAAGAATCATCTGTTTGAGTTGATAAAACGAAGGTTCTACATTTGTCACAATTGCTTTACAGCAATATTTTACACTCCTTCCCTGAAAATGACTCTAATGGGACTATTTTGAGTGATCTTACAGGATGGAATTTCAATAATATTGTAAATTGACAATTAGATTGCAGAGATGAGTCACATGGTTTACAATAAGAAGTGACTCTTGACTAGTTTCAGAAAAAATGTGAGAGGTTTAAATCTATCTCTACTTTTTAGCCTTCACAGAAATCAAATGCTCACTGTATGTCTCTAGTACCAGTAACCTGTAGGTGGATAGTGAGCTGTTTTCTCATTATAAATGCATGATTCTTTCATTTTGAATGTGCTGGATTTCATCCTAATTATAAGTTTTATATTTCTCAATTATGGCAAAGTTTTTATTTTGAGAAACAGAAAGCGCTATTCATTTTCCTTCTGACTAAAACATTCTTCTTGTATTTCATATCAGCTTTTGGTGTTTGGTTTTGTCCACACTGTGCAAATGTAGATATACCTTGCAAGTGAACTCTTCCTTTTTAATGGCAATCACTATTAAAAGTATTTGAAAGTATTTAAATGAAATTAACATTTGTTGGTAATCTTAATGGCAAATTAGAGCTTGATGCAAAAATAGTGGTTGTTTAGGGCCCGAATTAACATCCAGAGTGAAACAGTATGGCAGTAGAAAGCTTATTTGACATTCTTAAGTCACAGGTAAATTAAGAGACATCCCTGATCAAAAATTGACATTCAGTCTTTATGATTTAAAATCAAATGCCATGAGTGGATTTTTGAAAATTTAATTTTTATGTTTTAAATCAGGAGAAAAGAAGTATTGGACTGGACATAACATCATTTCTCAATTAAGGAAAATTGATCGGTTCAACTGATACAAAAAAGAAACTACTATATTAGTTTTTTAAAAACTGAGCTTTAGATATCAATGTATTTGTAAATGTCACATATCCTTAGATTTTTATCTTGATTCTTAAATTGACTTCTTGTTTATGAATTCTATAAATGTACAGACTTCAAAAAACAAAGTACAATGTGGCCAATTCCACTAATGTGCTCTTGAAAAAAAAATCCAGGGGAAATACCACAACTGTTGGACTAAGTTCTAGAAAATAAAGTGTATTCAAAAACAAAGGCTGCTTCTAAATCTGAACAGCAATTATTGCACTAATGAAGCAGAAATAGGACCAATGAAATGTAATGTTTTGCTTTGTATGACCCACACGTATTTCTTTCCAGACATAAGCAAAAACAGAGAGCATCAAATTACTCTTTTATTTTGACATAAATGGAGTCTTAATATGGAGGTGTTTATATGCTATAATAATTCTATCCTTGTAGAACTGTGTTCTGCTTGAATTATTATTTTTTCCTTTTCCTTTTTTTTTTTTTTTCTGCAGAGAGCAAATAAATAACCCAAAGGGTCTAGAGCATGCAACTGTTCAAATTTAAGGATCTCTTTGTTTTCCCTTGGAAATTAGATTAATACCTGTTGTTTTACATCACATTGGGATTTACCTCTCTCTCATCTAAACCTAACAAAAAAATCTCAGAAAAACCCCACCCAGGCATTATGTGACTAAGAAAATCCTGATGTGAACAACAACAACAAAAAAATGATGAGCACCACATCCTGTACATGATTTTCTTGTTTGTTTGTTTGAATTTGTGGATGTTTTGCTTTGGATTACTTTTTTTTTTTTTTTTTCCTTCTGGCTTCTCCTTGCCTTGTTATTCCAACTATGTGCTCATTTCACATTCCTGATAGTGAATTTGACTTAATCCAATTGATCTAGTATAGCCAAGATTTGTATCTACTTTAGATTCTGATTCAGCAAACTTCTAGCTGCTTGATAAAGCATTAATTGGTAATCCATTACACCTAAAATTCCTGTGAGGGAATAGGTTCCCGAAAGACCTGAAAAATGATATTTCTTCTGCATAATTTAAGTGTTTTCATCTCTTAGTATTAATAATGCAAGTAATGTAGCAGTACATCTAATGGTCTCTTTTTAAAAAGTCCTAGTATATTAGGTCTAAAAAGCCTAAATTTAATATGGTTTTGCTAAAGTAAATAATAGGAGGACTGGAAGGCCACAAATTAGACGGCTGCAAATTACAAAATTGATGTCTATACAGTTTGCTTAGTCTTGTAAATTTGGATTTCTGTGTCTATCAGTAAATGTAATTTTGAGTAATGGATAATTGTAGGGTGTTTATGAGAGAAAAATGTGAAGAATTCAATACAATTAGCAAATAAAGGCATAGCAAATGGTATAACCACAGTAGTACCACAAAAACAATTAGTAAAAACTAATTGACATTAATACTTGTGATTGCATACACAAGGTAGGTAAGAAACCATTTAAAATTAGATTTAATGGATTGGCATCTAAATATGAAGGGGAGAAAATGAGCTATGAATATGCATGCAGTGGTAGAGGCTGTTAATGTAAGGCAGCATAGGCTTTGGCAGCACACTGTTTGAGAAGCGCTCTGGCATGGTAACTGTCTCTTGTGTGTTCTGGTGAGCTCATATGGGATAGTGCAGGTAAAACAAATTTTTCTTTATTTGTCTCTTGTTTTCCTTGTCATATACAACTTATATTTGCTTGGATTTCCACAAATCTTATTGCAAAAAATGTTGTCTCTGCAGTGTGATTCAGTTCCTGTGTTGCTGTACCCTAGGTCTTTGCAAGGAGACTGAGCCTCCATAACAAACTAAACAGTGATAGATTTCAGAGAGTTACTAGAGTAATACAGTTAATGTAAACTGCAAATGGATCCTTTTTTTCCTTTTTTAAAAACCATTTATTTTAGCTAGTCTGGCTTTGGTTAGTTAAAACCGTTTCTTCTATGTCTTCTGAAGATTTTTTTATAGTTGTTGTCTTTCTCCATCCACCCAGGTATGTAGGATGAACTTCCCATGTTGAAATGTTTCTTATACCTATAAGCCCTCTTTAAATATCCTAAATTTTGTATTCTTATGAGCAATGCTGTGCTGCAGAAGAGAAAGTACATATTTCTAGCACAAGAGATATTGCAGACTTAATGTCATATTGAGCAGGAAAATCAGTTGGAATAAACAAATATTTCAGACTGATGAAAATTTCCTTGGAAACAGAAGAGAGAACATGCTATGAAGTCCACACAGCAGCCCTGCTGAGCACTAAGTCATGTGTTTAATTGTGAAGGAGTATTATGCCATGTCAAGAGCAAATAATGCAGTTGTATTTCCATGAGTTTGAGGAAATCACAGTATTCTTTACTCACAAAGTCAAGGAAAAGTCAAGAACTTTCTTGGTTAGTGCTGAGATGAAGTCTAATGCAAAATGTTAGTTGGGAGCCAAAGTAGGTGTTGTTAAATCATGTGTACCAGAAAATTAAAAATGCAGAACTTGAAAAATAAATTTAAGACTGGTTGGTTGGGAACTATTACATTCACTGTCTAACTTAAGTGTCTGTTTCTTTGTTGAAAGTAGCATTTTTATATATATATATGTCTTAGTTTTATTGACTTCTAAATCATTAAGGCAATGTTTCACTGAACAGAAAAATACCTGAGTACCTTTAAAATGCTCACCTTTACACTTAAAATCTTTAAATGTTCTTCAAAAATAGTATTTTTGTTTAAATTTTGAATTAGTATTTGCAGAAGAGAATAGTTTCAAGTGAACTGCTGAAGAGCTTTGTTTCCATTTTCTTGCTCTGCTTTTCTAATATTTGCAGAAAAACAGTTATATCTTGCCTTTGCAATGTATTTTCAATGCTTGTTGAGAGCAGGACAGAATGAGGAGCTATCATTATCTAGACTGTGGTGGAAAAGTAATTGTGTTGATGACAAAATTTTGACAGACGCGTATGGATGTAACTGGTTTGATTTTGTTTATGTGTATGTGTTGGATGTTTCTGTGTTGAAAAAATTCTATACCCAATTGTAACGAGTTGTGATATTTTTTTAGCCTTTGAAGAAGTGTATTATTCTTTTGTTGTTTAACATTTCTAATGTTTCTTGGTTTTTCTTTTTTTTTTATTGTAAGACATTTTCATCAGTTTCATTCTGTGAACTCCTTGAGACGTTTATATAAAGATTACTAGTGAGTTAATCTCTGTCTTCTGTTTAGTTTGTAAATGTTTCCTCCAAAGAATAGTTGAGTGTCATTAGCTATACTGCCATTTACCCCTTCTCTTCATAAAACCTCTCAGGCTTTAGATTGTGAAAATAGTAGAATCCATCCATAATATTTACATCATAGCACTCATTTTGTCTTCTAAGTTTGAAGGAAGTAATAGTTTCTTGTTAAGATTTTCATGAAACCCAGTGAAAACAATGAACTGGGTTCAAATATTTCCCCCTTCTTTCTCCATAATCCATCAGAACAAAAAGAGATATGTTTCTGAAACTGTTTCTTAGAAACATGTTTGTTACAGAAGAAGGTACTCTTCCTCATTCCTAATTATTTTGTGTTCATTTTGTGTTATTTATTCATGTTTTTTAGTGATATTCCTCGGATTCCTGAGAGTTCTCATCCCCCATTAGAGTCCAGTGAGTACATTCTCTTTGTTCCTTTGACTGAGCTTGATCTTGTACTCAGTACATTTTTTGCTATGAATTTTTGGAATGCCTACCATGCAGTGGGAGACTGCGTTGTCTTGAGATTTTTATGTGAAAAAAAATTGTTATCTGAATCTTGTGTGTTAAATTCTAAACAATATAGATTTGATTAAAAACTATATACATTTCAAATGTTAGCAGGATTTTACTATGTTCTTTTGTTACTTGTGCTGTTAATACCATATGGGTGTATAAGCCATGCCTGAAGAAGTCATTTACTTGTTCTAGCATAACAGAGGAGATAGGTAGAAGAGGCTGCCAAAAGTACAAACAAATGGCATCAGGATTTCACCTCCTGCACCATCCAGCCTAAGTCCAGAGTTTCTGCTTCTCTTTAACTTATGGAGAATGCAACCCTATGGTGAAATTTTTGTGTATGACACTTGAAAAGAACAGTTTCCTTAGCTGTCATTTGAAGTGTCAGCTGGGTTGCATGAGAGCCATGGCTTCCAGCCCTTTCTCATCTGAGCCTTGCGTGAGAAGCAATGAGAAACTTTCTTGGGTCCAGCAGGGCCACTGAACTTGCTATGCTGCTCCTTGCCTTTCGTGAGCTTGTCCTTGCTCATGTGAGCTCTGCTTCACTGATAGAGAACTACTAATCTCCTGCATAGACAGGAGTGTCCTCTGTGCCAGATGCCTGTCTTGCATGTCTTCCTGCCTCTGAATTCTCAGGAGTTAAAATCACATTTCAGAAGCTACTATTAAAAAAAAAAAAAAAAAAAGAAAAAGAAAAAAATCATTTACTCATTAAAGTTTTCAGCTATGCACTCTGTACAATGAGGATATTTTATTCAAGGCATGGTATGTCAATGATAGATAAGGAACACTTTGTAATATGTTATTTAGAGTAAAAGAAAAAATGTCAGGTTTAATCTGGGTTAAGAGTATCTAGACTATTTTCACCACCTCATTTGCATCAGCTTAAAAAAATTCTGTATGCTAAGACATTAATACTATGCATAAAGACAAGCTTTATTATGTTCAAAGAGAAACAATTCATAAATTATCCAAATTTGCTTTATAATTTCAGATGGAGAGTTCATGTGTTTCTTGCATATTTTTAGGTTCAAGTTCTTTTGAATCTCAGAAGATGGAAAGACCTTCTATTTCTGTTATTTCTCCAACCAGCCCTGGAGCCCTACGGGATGCACCACAAGTCCTACCAGGGCAGCTTTCTGTGAGCAGATTTTATTTTTCCTAAGTTAATAATGAATGAATGAATGTTTATCAGATGTTGGTCCTTCAGCCCTCTGCCTTCCCAAGGTCTATTGGGAAGTCAAAGGAAGTGACTGTCGCTAGTGAAGTCTAACATCTTTCAAATGTGTAAGTATACATTCACTGTAATCACAGCAGAAGTAAAGAGTTGTTGTCTTAATAAATGAGAACATGCAGAAATTTACACTGAGGAGCCCACAAACATGCCTTCTAATTTTTCATGCTGTGCTCTTTTGCACTTGCAAATAACAAGCACCATACCACTCTACCTTCTTTACAGGACCAAATAAAGAGCTATGTTAACTTATACTGTAGAAAAATGCAATTGAATTTAGATAAACTTCACCTCCTGGAATTCTCTGTAATGTTAATTGAAACTGTATTTATTAAACACACAGTGAATTCTTAGACTTTGTTATTATATATTCTTAACTTTTTATATTGATTATATTAATTTCTAAGTACACAGCAGACTCAAAAATTCTGTTACGATCCTACGAGGAAAGAATTTAGCTGTATTTTATGCTTTCCCTTAGACCTTTCTAATGTGACAGATGAGAGTAGGTAGATTTTCAACATGCCTGAAGTTTAGCTGCAGTTTAGCTTCCTATTTAAATGTAGATTCAGAAGTGCAAAACTAAGATGATGCTGGCTTGAATGAACTTACAGGTACCAGTGATTACAGTAAGTCATGTAAGTATAATTGAGTAACACCATTTTATTCAGCTAGGTGAATATGTAAGTCTTTGGTATACACCAACATATTTTATTAATAGATTTGTAATTATATGCATCTCATTGTCTCTTGGGAAAATAAATGTTACTTCTAAATTGTGATTAATGTGATGCAATATAAAAATTCCCTTTTTTTTTTTTTTATTTATTTTCAATGTTTTTTTTCTGGTAACTTGTTTCATGTAGGTGAAACTGTGGTATGACAAGGTGGGACATCAGTTAATAGTGAATGTTCTACAAGCAACAGATTTGCCACCAAGAGTAGATGGACGGCCAAGGAATCCCTATGTAAAAATGTATTTTCTTCCAGACAGGAGGTAGTACTTCAGTTGAGAAAATTATTTTGTAATTTATTGAATCAATTTTTAAGCGAATGTTTTTGAATTGCAATATTCTTTTATATGTATTTTTTTCTTATTTAGACTAATTATGAGAAAAAAATTGCAATAGAGGTATTTAATTCAGTATAAAATTAACTCTCCGGACATTTGGATGAATGCAGTCTGCTGTACAGAAAATACTTTTCTCTTTTAATGCATTATCAGATCAGGAAAAATGAAACCAATAAGTGCTGATGAGTTTATGGCTTTTTGTGATTTACAAACAATTTACAAGAAATATTTATGTTACAGTGATAAAAGTAAAAGGAGGACCAAAACAGTAAAGAAAAGTCTAGAGCCAAAATGGAACCAAACTTTTCTCTACTCGCATGTCCATCGTAGAGATTTTAGAGAAAGAATGCTTGAAATAACAGTATGGGATCAGCCAAGAGTCCAAGAAGAAGAGAGTGAATTCCTTGGAGAGGTGACGCACACAATCACATTTATCCTGAGTTTGATATTTATTTTTGAATACATGTTAAACTTACATATTAAAATTTAAATTAAAATGTGATAATTTTCCTCCTAGATTCTAATAGAGCTGGAGACAGCGCTTTTAGATGATGAACCACATTGGTATAAGCTACAGACACATGATGAATCTTCACTACCTCTGCCTCAGCCATCACCTTTCATGCCAAGAAGACATGTCCATGGTGGAGAAAGCTCTAGCAAAAAATTACAGAGTAGGTCCAATCCATTCATCTTTTTTTTTTTTTTTTAAATTTTTAAATTTGAAATCCTGGGTATGTTGTACTGATATTTAGTTTTCACATACAAGACAAAAACGCTATTTCAGAGTCTGTTGGTGTTATACAAATGAACAGCAAAAAGAGATGCCTTTGCACGTGCCAGCATTTCACCTGTGATGCATAACTTTCAAGTAAATGAAACCTATTTGAATCAATTGATTTTCACTAGCAAAATAAAATTGATCAAATATTTGTTTTCATAAATCTCCTTTCAAAAGGAAAAAATCCACGTTTGTTGGATACTTTTGTAATAATTAAAAGCTTTTTATTTAAAAAAGGCTTTGAAGTCTTGTGAGGTGTAAAAACACTTCATTTAAGTTTAGTTTCAGCTTCCAATGTACTTTTATATACCATACCATATAATCAGATGAAAGAAGGAATGTAAGCAGCAAAGAGAAACTGCTTTGGGAGGTACAGTTGTTCTGAAGATTCTGATTCCAGGTTTGTATGATTCACACTAAAAATAATGAATGTATTGAAATATTTGACTGTTGTAGCCTCTCTCTTCATTTAACTTAGTAAAAGATATATTTTAAAATGGGAAAGATGTAGGACGTTATTTTTAATAAGCTTTCAAGCTATTTTTCTCATTATTATTATTATTTCTTTTTAACATAAAAGTCATTAATTCCAGCCAACGAATAAGAAATTGGGCATATTCAGGAGTGAATTGTAGAAATGTGATACTACTTTAATTACTGCCTGAGAATATGTATAGAGATAGCAAACCAAAGGTTAGTTTTCATGAGATATTTGAACTTTTTAAAAGGCTGTCAGTGCTGCTTCCTCTTCTCCTTTCTTACCATATGCTGCCACCTCTGCTTTCCTGTTCAGCTGATTCAGCTTGCTCTACTCACTGAAATAGCACAAAAGTACCTTTTTTTTTCCTTTATTTGAGAAATAAAGAAATCTTTTTCCTTGCTTAGTGAGCTAAACTAACCTCGTAGAAGAGTACTGAGGGAAGAAAGGCAGAGGAGGCTGCAGCATCTGTGAACCTGTTGGGTTGACTCAGCTGTTTGATGAGACATCACCAAATCATTGATGCAGTTTAATTCTCCACTTGTACTGTTTAGACTTAAAATCATCTTTTCAGTTTTAGTACTACAAATGAACCTATTTTTACGCTTTATAACATGGCCAGATGTTCAGGTATTTGTTTACCTTACTGTTGTGCAGGATCTCGGCCAATCAGTGATAGTGACATCTCAGATTATGATGTTGATGATGGTATTGGAGTTGTTCCTCCAGGTGCGTGGGTGAACAGCATGGTCCTGCTTTCTTTTTTCTTGCTTGCTTATTTATTTATTTTCATTATAACATTTCAGAATATTGAAGATACTGGTTTTAGAGAATGCATAGTGGGAAGAACAAGTTTTTCTGATCATTCCATGGTTCTTGTCCTTCTCAAATATGGTGAATTAAAAGATTCTATAATTCGTTCATTGGTATTCCTTTTGCATACCATTCTTCACATATGAACCACTTGATGGTTCAAATTGTTTACCACGTAATGTTCCAAGCATTATTAAAAATACTAATTTAATTTTAAAAATTGCTTTACAACAGTAATTAGGGTTTCAGTGTTTATTGCAAGCATGTTTTATTTTGCTTTTTGCTTGATACTTAGATGTAAAATAGTCTTCCATAGACTTTATTGAGAATGCATGCTGTAGATTATGATGCATGTAGCATGGCTGTACCTTCTATAGTTTCCTTGAGTCTTCATGAACTACCATTACCCTAAATGTTCATAAATTTAGCTTGTACCATGGTTAGACTTGAATTTATCATCCTTTTGTACTTTGGATGCCATATTTTTCTATTTCTATTTGACTGTTGTTATAAGTCAGGTGAATAGGTTTCAGAATTGTCCCAAGCTATCCTAAGATTCGCTGTTTCATTGGCAGTACTAAATCATTTTTTCCATGTCCCCGTTGACAATTACTGAATTAAATCATGGCAGGTTTTAGAAAGTCCTCTATCTCCCTGATCAGAGTTTAAAATAGTCTGACAGTTTATTCATTATATATTGATTAAAATACATTGTACATTTTATTACCACATATAGATACAAATTTTGCTTTTTTTTATGTGTTAGGGTACTTCCCTTACTTTCATACAATTGCATATGAGCAACTAAGCAGGAAATTTGTTCCATTATGTCTTATAATTGTATTTGGTTTAATGAAGTGATTAATCTTGTTATTTACAGAAACTGAGAACCTTTAAGCTAAAAATAAATCATAGGTTTCAAAAATGTGGCATACCTATGTATGCTTTCTTACCTCTCAATACACATACTTAGAGCAGGAATTTTTTTTAAGCTGCCCATTCCTTAGGGCATTCATTTGAAATAAACCGTTTCCATCTAGCCAGAAGCTTTCAAGAACGTTCAACTGAGTACATTGGACTCTATTCTCTGGGTCAACCCCTGAATCACTACAGTTCTTACAGAAAGTTCTTAGGACAGCGAGTGCTTGAGCGCAGCTTTGAAGCATACATGGATCTCAAGAGATCACTGCAGAAAATTGCAGAATATTGCAATGTATACCACCGGATTTTTTTTAGAATCGGTTCATGGAACTGTTTATAAAAGGTGTTTATACTCACAGCTTTAAAGTGACTTCAGTTGAAGCTCTGCTTAACACAGTTTATTTTTGACAAATTTTTGTGGTATGCCTATGTCTGTTTACATGAATATTATTTTAATGCTCTCAGCCTCTCCTCAGATGTACGATGCTCCAGGCTTTTAATTAGCTTTGTGGTCCTGCTCTGGACTCCGAGTGCTTCAACTCTTTGTCTTTCTTCTATGATGGAGCTCAATATTCCAAATGTGACCACACCATTACTGAGTATATAAAAAGAGTCAGTAAAGGATTTATAAAAACAAAATAAAATATGATCTGAGGCATTAGTGGCTCATATTGAGTTGGCAGTATACAAGAGCATATTAATGAGCTGTAATGCTTTTGAGTAACACTCCAGAATAATTTATTCTTCTATCTAAAATTGTCTGTATAAATGGTTGTGTTGTACTTAACATTCCTGAAGCAGCAGGGTGACATCAGCATAACACCTTGCATTGCCTGTATTGCCTTTTTCAAAAAAAAGAAAGTTAGTGCTTTAGAAATCAAAACATTTTCATCATCCATGCAGTTTCCATTTCATGTCACACCTGACAGTTTCCCATGACCACCTGAGAAACTTCTTCTCCATGAACTGCCATAAGCTGTATTGCTGCTCCCATGCAAAAGAAAGAATTCTTTGCTCACTCTGGAGAGCCCAGAACCTTTGTTTTTGAAGATACGAGGAGATGTTACTGTTGCTGTCCCTGTCATGCTCACTGTGGAACTGTGGATGCAGTTTAACCAACTGAACAAAAAGTAAAACGTAGGAGAAATATTATTTACTGTTGCTCTGTCTGTGCTATAAGCTTTGTGTTCACCCAATGCACAGGTTTTAAATATTGTCTCCAGGTAGCTCAGCTATGAAGAATATGCAGGGTAATAGCATCTTCATATGCCAGATGTTTAAGTGCACAGGATAATCTTAGGTATTGGTTTCTTAGTTGGACCAGAAATACTCTGGAAGCACATTTTAAATTGAAATTTATTATTGAAAACTTGAAGCGCATTTCAGAATAGTTAAAAAGGTTAGAAAGCAGACTTGGATTTCTTTGATTTTAATGTTTAATAAATATAACCTAGTTTTTTTGTGTGTTAGAGAGTACATGATTTTACATGAAACATGTTATTTTTCCAGAAAATATATTCTTATGCGTAAAGTTCAAGTTTCATTAGACTGGGAAAGGGAACACATCAGTTTTTGTTGTGTGTAATCATTTGTCTTCCTCTGACAAAAATACTAGACATTTTCTGCGTCAATCTTATTACAGAAAATGAGGGAATCTCCACTGAAATCCTGAGTGAGTCACTGTTTTGCTTCAAAGTTTTCACCCAGTCCTTGTACTTATGTTGAGGGTATCCTGATATTTCTTTCTAGTTTTATTACATGGCTCTGAAAAACATTTTCAGCAGATAAAATACTCCAGCATCGCAGTGCATCAAAACCAATGTGACTTTGAAGTCTTTCTTTGTAAAAAAGTTTATGAACATTGGAGTAGATACTTTCTGGGATCAGGCCCCTTTTGTAGTCAGTACTCACTAACCCATTGCCATTAAGTGGCAAGCATTTGTTGTGCGTGTTGCCACTAATTTGCATTCACCAAGTTGTTGGGTTTTTTTTATCTTTCTTTGGCTTTCAGAAGATAACAGCCATCCTGCCCTAACTAATATATTATCACATTTAAGATTTGATGCCACGTTTGTTCATTTTATTTCATATGCCTAACTCGGTGCTATCTGAGAACAGTGCAAATATGCAAATGCAACACTAGCGTTTGCTTCTGAGCTACTTTGTGGTTTTATTGTGAATCTTTTCCTTTGTCCCTACCCTCTAAGATCTATCAAAAGTCATATTGTTTCCTATTCCCCTAATTGATTGACTTTCCCACCTCTCCCTGCTTCAAAAGATGGAAAAAAAGAGATTATTTCCCATGTTCTTGCACCAACCATGAAGTGTAAGACAATAATTGGAGAAAGTAATAATAGACTTGCAGAGGTTTTTCTGCGTATGTTTTGAGCTGACATTAACAAGAAATTCCATAGTAAAACTGTCTGATCATCTTTTTTGAATCATGTTTCCTTCCCACTCACCTTCTCTGTCTTATATTTGTAGTGCTCAATAGTGTATAACAGATGGACACATTTCTGGGGGTTGTGAAGTTATGAGCTTTATAATCAGAGACAAGGGCCTTAGAGGTTCTTGGATGACAAAATACACAATTTAGTGGGCCCCTCTTCTGAATTTTTGAATTATGTTTATTAATGTGAATCTGTTTTATGGTAAAAGATTATTATCACTTTTAACAAAATGCCTTCCTTCTGGTCTAATGCTGAGATAATGTATTCAGATGTTAAACGTCCATTAGAATTACATTGGTAATCTGATGAGTAATTTGAGAGAAATAATGCGAGTCTTACCTTGATTCTTGTAATCAAAGTTCAGAGTTGTAGCTGAGCATGTTGTTAAGTGTCACTTCACCAAGTCTGATACTGACTTCATATACAGGCCATACTTTTAAGAGGCTTGTAACAATGTGGTATATTAGAAAAGAACTACATGAGTTACTCAAATTATGCAAAATAATAATAAAAAAAGAAAAACAACCTAAGCCAAAAACCTTGAAACACTAGAGAAAGAAGCACAAGAAGTGCAAAGCAACCTGTTTCATTTATCCAGTTGAAGATGTAGTATTTAGATGATGATCTTTTCCTGTATGGAGAGAAGATTTCTGATACAGGCTGCTTTTTTAGCTAAATGTAAAAAGCACAGTACAGGTGTTCGGTGCTAAACAAATGCAATAGAAACAGCAGAGGGATTTTTTGTTGGTTTGTGATGTTCAGTTAGGGATGACTAAAGAGATGACCTTTCCTGTAATTCAGGGAGATTTTTTTCTCATCTAAATGTCTAGATGAGAGCAACTCTGACCAAATCCATGTAGGATATTCTGGAAAGGTAGCAAGCACCTTTTGGAAGCAGCACATCATGCTGATCTTCATTTGGTACAGGATTTTTAGTGTGAGGTTCAAAATGTGAACGATCAGTATATTATTTAGAAAAAAAGAACAGGAATATCAGCAGTTAAACAAATGGCAGAATGATAGTACATTTTTAAAGTTCTATGCAAGAAGAGATTATGAAAAATATTGCATTTCATTCATAGTATTTGGAAAACGTGGTCTGCAGTGGATATGGTGCTCAAAGTTTTATAGAATATGGTATAAATGGTTGTTATTTTTGAAAGTAGGTAGCTTTGACCAAGTTGAGTGGGAGAGCATTTTTATATTTAACTGAAAAAAAGTCAGAAAGAGGCTTTATTTTTGAGGAATCCTGTGTGAGTCTGCTGTAATACACAGGCATGGCTTCTCCATTTGTTAGATGAGGTAAACCTACACTACTTAGATTCGTTTCAAATATTTGCTACTGAATGACAATTTTGAAATACGAATTACTATGTGTACTCTTTCCCAAGATAGAAAATGGACTCAATTCTCTCCCTCACACCTTCCAGTGTATACTGAAGGTAATCTCAGTTTTTCTGTCTCTGCACATATAGAAATTAAAGGGTAGTCCTAGTATTTTGTCCTGGCTGCATGATATGTCAGGATATACGAGAGCTGAATGACCACCTGACAGTTTTGTAAGCATTTAGTTGTGTGTTCCTTAATGGACTAACCATCTGAATTCATTCAAAATCCACACTGTTATTCTCTAATTTCCTTCTGTTGCCCTCTTACCAGTAGGTTATAGATCTAGCACTAGAGAAAGTAGATCTACAACACTAACTGTGCCAGAACAGCAAAGAACAACACATCATCGTTCACGATCTGTATCTCCTCACCGTGGCGACGATCAGGGCAGGACCCGTTCACGTTTACCAAATGTGCCATCACAGAGGTAGGCATCACAAGTGAGTGAAACTGGTCGGTTTCAAGTTTGTACAATCTCTCACTGGTATCTGTTTACTTTTCTTTTATTCAGCATTTTGTAGAAACAGAATTGTATTTCAATTTAATAGTTATTTGGACTTGATGTATTCTTTCAGTAATCATTCAAGCGCAGCCACGAGATTAATCATATCTTTCTAAGAGTTACCTCTTAGTAATATTTTCCATGTGATTCATCTCAGATTTGGAAATGCTATTCAGGTAGTGACTGAATCTTATATGAAGTCATGTAAGCATTTTTGTACGATAATAAATAGTGCAGTATACAATTTGTATACTATGAATATAACTTATTTTGAAGTAACAACTAGCTTAAATTACCAGTTGTATTTATAATTTGCTCAATCAACCTGTACCATTTAATTGTCTATTAAGCTGTATTGTTTATGAGGAAAACAAGATTATCACACATATGTCTGCCTTTCAGGAATTTTTAATTGTCCACTGAAGTATAACATTTGTGAGAAAAACAAGATTATCATACATATATGTGCCTTTCAGGAGTTTAGATGAAATTCATCAAATGAGAAGATCACGTTCTCCAACTAGACACCATGAGGCCTCCAGAAGTCCAGCTGATTACAGATCCAGAGACATGGACAGTCAGTATTTGTCTGATCAAGAAAGGTATACTGTCAGTCTGAACTTGGAAATAAGATTAGAAATGTGTTTGTCAGTTTGCCCACTTTTCAAATGTTTAGCAGAAAACTACAGCCTGTTGATAATGGGGAAGGGTCAGGTAATCATCCTCACTGCAAAAAGTAGTCACAATTAAATTATCTTTGCCTTTTTTGTGGTGAAAGTCTGCACTGGGTTGACAGTGATAGAAGATGTCTGGACTAATGGTTCTTAGCTGTTTGTCCTAGACTACCGTGCTGTTTGTTTCATGCACACGTGCCCTGAGAATTTGCTTAAAGCCATAAATCTACATATATTTCCTAATAAATCGTGTAGCAGAGACCAGAGAAACATATTTGTCTGTTTTGGTAGTGAGAGAAATACTAGGATGACTTCCTACCATGTGGGAGTTGAATGCTACAGTTTATTTTCCTATGTGAATATGTTTTGGATTTTTACCTTTTCAGTCTCACAGAATTTTATATCACATTTTGGTGAACTTGGTACAGTATACAAACATAGGAAGGATAATTACAGTGCTTGTAATTAAGAAAAATCTCCAATCATTGATGCTTGACACTCCTTGGAATATATGAAGATGCTCAGAGAATATGTTCTCTACTAGTAGGCATTGTTTTCAGTTATTTAGGAATATCTTCAAAGAATGGAAGAAAATTAGAATGATCTTCCCTGTTTTTTGTTTTTTGTTTTGTTTTGTCATGATGTATGTATGGGATTTAATCATTTACTTGAAACTGCTTAACATTTCAGTGTCCTACTTTATAGGCAAGAAGTTTATACAGAATTGCCTGAGTTGGATTTTTGTATCAGATTTCCTTTTAGAGATGAGTTGAAATGCTTTTTAACTATAGCAACATTGCACTTACAGTTAAGCTAGTTCAAGAAATTTCCACTTGTTGCAGATGTTTCATGTTATTTATTATAGGTAGGAATATATTCAAAGTATTACTGAAAATATTTATTGGATAGCTTTCTTGTTCGACAGATTTGGAAGAGACATTTAAAAGTAGCTTTAATCATTAGAAAGAAATAAGTAGAGTTGGCTTCATACAGATTTATGTTATTGCCTCGAAACATAGTATAAATGACAATACATACATGAACTATGTCTGTGAGATGCACTGGTGCTTTTTCAAAGATGAGCCATCAGAAAGAGCACAGCAGCAAAGCACTGCTGGATTTTTTCAGATGAATAGGAAATAGTCTTCAGTTTGCAGAGTTCAGAAGATACTTTTCAGAAATTTAAAAGATCAGACATGAAGGATGTACGTGACTTATAGGATTAGCAGGATTTAATCAAAGGTTCCCTGAAGTTACTTTCCTCAAGGAACCATCTCTCTTTTTTTTTCCATTTGCTTTTCCCCAGATACCTTCAGTTGTTGAAACTTTTTAACTCTTGAAGGCTTCACTGACTTCCTGTGAATAAGAGTAGAATCACAGAGTGGATCAGACTCAACTTGTGATTTTTATGTTGTTGCCAACAGCCTCATTGTTGATAGAATCTTTCACATCTCAGGGTATAAAAAAGTAAATATTCAGTATTGGTACCAGTACAATGTCTTAGTATTAACATTAGAGCAAGTATTATGTTCTTCATTTACTGATCCCATCATCTAAGTATATTCTTGTAGATACCAAACATAAACTTGATCGGAAAAGTGAGTATTTTTCTGATAATTGCATGGCAGAAATTGCAGTTGCTCATTACTTTTGATCATTTTCTCAGTGATCTTAGTGATCCTAAGTTAATATTGAATATTTCTAAGGAAGCTTTGTAGACATATCTATGATATGCTCTTAGAAAAGTGTTTGGTATGATACACTCCCAGCACAACTGATCGGTTCACTTTACCTTTTTTTTTAAAATATATTTGTATGTATATATATTTATGTACGCACACATATGTGTACATGTGTGTATAAATACATGTATATGTATGTGTGTATATAAAACTGTTTAGGAAAATTTTATATTAGGAAATCCAACAAAGGAATATACTTCCCTCTCAATTTAGCATCATCATCTGATTCTCAAGTACCCTATTTCACTTTTTGTTTTATTCCTAAATAATGTCTGCTAATCTCAGTTCTTAAGTATTCCCATTAAGAAGTTCTTATTCTAAAATAATAATCTTTAATATAAATTTCTCCAAAGCAGCTTTATTGTAGAACTTCCAATATCATCTTACATTGTAAATAATCTGTTACAGATTTTTTTGCCTTGTTTTTGTTTTGTTTTGTTTTAATTTGAGGTTTTCATGGTGGATTTGGTGTTTATATTCCTTTTCTCAGTGAAATATTACGGTTTGCCATGGATGCATTTCAGGAGATATCCTTTGGCTTAGCAAAAGTAGAATAAATATTATCAAATTACCTTTCACAACTACTCTTTTTCAGATTTTATCCTGTTTCTCAGAAGGATTCCTGTCTCTGAAAATTAAGCAGTGCATAGCATTTTATGATTGTAGTGTTTTTATGCTAATTTCCTCATTTCTTGAAAGAAAATCTCAAATATCTTAAGTTACTGCAGAAAATTCTTTTCCTAATACACATGTATTTGTAATTTGGAAATTTGCATATAAATGCTGTTAGTGCTCTAACACTTGGAATGGAATTTTTTCTTTAAAAGAAAAAACAATTCAGTTTACCTTTAATACCTTTTGTTGCATCGAATTCAGGCTGGTGATTCCAGATACAAACTGAACTCTCACTTGTTACTCAGAAGCCATTATTTTAGTTTTCCGATTTCAGAACAGTAGAGTAATATTACCTGTGTTGCATCAATTAAAGTAATCATTTTATAGTGGTATGAAGCACAAAACACATTGAACAACTGCTACTTCATTTCTTTTGTAATCTTTTCTCTTTCTGTCACCACAGTACTTCATACGATTCCCTGCTTATTTTAAAATAGCATGTTTTCATGAAGTTTAGCTTTACTTTCATATTTACAATAGTTTGTGGGATGTTGGTACTTCGTCTTCTTGATCATATTGAAGTGCATAAAACTACAAGATTAAGTCAAGGGATGTTTCATATCATAATCATACTTACCATAGGCATAAATATGTCTTATTTTTACCATCTTTCTGATGCTAGCACATGTTCAGTTGCATCAAATGAGTAATAGATTAGTTGGCTGATTTTCTGAATTGGAAACAATAAGAAACAAAGAATCTGATAACTGATCAGCTATTTTTTTGCTTTGTTATGATAACATTGAATAATACTGAAAATAGCTGTCAGTCAGAACTTCTATTTTAACAAACATATTCCCTGTTAATGCATATTTTTCTTTTTCCCAGAAGGACAAAAAAAGGATTTACTCTTCCCATAAATTGGATTGCAGTGAAGTAACAAACTCTCCCTCTGTTTTTCTTGTATTCTTTTGTGGCTTAGAGAAAAACAATCACCTATCTTTTTTCTAAAATATTTCTTTGATGCATAAGAAAGGAGGTTATTAGAGAAATGTAAATGATTTATGGAGACAGCTTTTGTCATGAGGAGCTCTGAATCAGTACTGAATTTTAATGGGAGAAACCTCATGAAACTAGGTGAAAGGGTTTGGTTGAAAATGTAGTTATTGCAGGCATTTTTTTTGGCTCACATACTTTGAGAAGTGCAGTCTGGGTTTGAACATTAGCAGTCTATGTATTTTGGTGGAAGTTTCTTTGTTATTTTTTTTTTATGTTTTCATTTGCGTTTCATTGGCATAACCCATGTCATCTAATGCTTCATAATTATATCTGTTTCACTCACCACCCATCCTGTCTGTGCAGTGAGCTTCTTATGCTGCCCAGAGCAAAACGAGGAAGAAGTGCAGAGTGCCTACATACCATCAGGTAAATACAGGAATCTGGTACACCTCTGGTTAGTTGTGTGTGCTTTGTGTGCCCGGCATACAGTAAGTACAGACCTTCACAGTACATTGTGATTCAGGTGTCAGTTATTCTTTGTTTGTTTTTAATCAGCTGAAGATGCGTATATCTGTGTTTGTTTGTACTGATATATGTGTATCACTAGTAAGGGTTAAAGCAGCTAAAGAATTCCTGATTATGCAGTTGTTTTTTTTTTTGGGGGGTGGGGTTGATTATCTGTCTAGTCACAGTAGTCCTGATCACCAATGCATGGCAGTTTTGTTATGGTTTCAGACATTTTTTTTCAGTTGTTTTTATGTTTTTGTTTATTTCCATTTCTATGTCTGTATTATAGCCAAGCACTGGCCAACAATCTTTACTCCTTGTGACACCTAATCTCATGCTGACTTTGGACATTTGAGGAGAAAGCAGAGGGATGAAGGAGGGCATGATTTAAAGGCATCCTCCTCACAACCCTAGATTTTAGGGAATTAGTAATGCTTCTATGTTTTTCCTTTTGAATTGTGCTAATAATTTGATCCAGGCTTAAACCTTTCAGTTTATGCTCATTTTCAATCATACAAAATGTGTTATCCCAGGATTTGACACTCTTTTTCTCAACTGTTGCCAGAGCTAAATATAACTAACTATCTTACTATCTTAATCAAGCAAATCTACCTTTAAAAAAAAAAAAAGAACAATTTCATTGTCATATTTCAGCCAAAAAGCTTCTGACTCAACATTTTAGATTTTACCTTAATCACTTATTGAACTCCCTGTTATTTTGTGTCAGATTATTGTCATGCAATATCTAGATTTCACTACCTCTTTTCTATGGCATTTTTCTTTCTACTATATTTTCCATTGCTTTACTCCTTATATATCCCCAGCTCTGTGCTTTTTTTTTTTTTTTTTTTTTTTTTTTTTTTTTTTTAAATAATCAGGTAATAAAGATTATAATTTTCATTATAATTTTGCAGTGACAGAATTTAAATTCTCAACGCACAGAGTAATTATTATATGACGAGCTTTTGTCACTCTTTGCCCAGCAGCTGTGGATTTTCAATTGTGTTACTAGGCAGGTGGGCAGCTAACCAGCTAAAAATTGTGCATGGGCATCTACATAGTTAGGTTAGAGGAACACTGAATTCAGAGAGTGAGCCGTTCCTTGTGTTTTTCCTTGTTATAATTTCCTTGATATAGAATCGCCCTGGAAAAGACCTACAAGGTCATCCAGTCCAGCTGTCTGCTTATCACCTATAATTCTTGCTAAACCATGTCCCTCAACACAATATCTAAACATCCCTTAATTAGGGTATGATTATAAAGAATATTTAATTAGGTTTTGAAGCTGATATACCACTTCCAAAAAAGTTCAACATTCAGAGATGCCAGATGCAAGTATGTCTATAACTGTCTTTGTGGAACTACATATCTCTGTTTTAGCAAGCTTTTTGTGCTTAGCTTTGGAAGCATGTCTCAGTTAAAGTCTCTGTAGGTCTAAATAAAGCATTACTAAGACAAATAAATAGCAGCCTAATCCTTCACAAGAGCTTGTATATTTTAATTAAAAATCTCATTAGTAGGAATTTAGATTACTTTCATTACAAGAACAGTGTCCGAGCTATAGTAGCATTGTCATGAATTCATGGGCTGTACTAACAAGAGTGTAAATTTAAAAAAATTGTCCACCAGATAGCTATCACAGCAGGTGAATTGAGAAGAATATACATTAAGAAATCTCCTCATGCAGATATTACATATAGTAGAATATTATGTGTTTATTTTAAGTTCTGGTCAATTTTGCTTTACTATTACTTGTCTTTTTGTTTCTGGCATGTTTTTGTTTTGTTCTCTTTTCTTTTTTCACTTTCAAGAAGTTCTGTTAGTCATTATAAAACATTACCACCCAAGATGCCTTTACTAGAAAATGGTATTCATTGGAACCTATACAGGTAAGAAGTATTTAGAGTCCCCTTTAGTAGTAGTTAATGACTTTTTAGAGATGAAATAGTCTTCCCATATATATATGTATTTTTTTTAAAAAAAGAACAACAGCGTTTCATATGCTTTTGATAAATATGAGTTAAGGGACTTCTTAAAATAACTTCATACACTCTAAATTACCCCTACAGATGAAAGACAAGCACTTTATATTATGCACAGTTTTCTTCACTGTTAACATTGTATGTTGCACGCTTTGTCTTTGTTGCATTCTTTTGTTTGTGCGTGATTTTGCTTACATGTCAAATTTATTTTTATTTTGTTTAAATAATTTTAATTTACAAAGCTCAACTCTTCCTGCATGTGCTAAGACCAAATCAGTGGTTAGACAGGATATTTCTCTCCTTCGTGATTGCCTTAATTCACGAATTCCGAAATTTGGAGATGATCTACTGGTTAGGTAAGACACTAAGGATTAATACCTTCTCCTTTTGTATCCAAGATGGATTTACAGAATTAATGAGCTTCATTGTAAAGTAATTTCACGTCATATATAGTGTATCACATCCTTTTATGTTGGCTAAAGACTTACTGCTAATAATAAGGATTTGGATTTATTGTTTGATATTTCTCATTCCACTCTTTTGCCAGTGGATATTCTGTCTCCCTCAGTTTTAAACATTTCAACAGTCTTAGCAAGAATATTTTAGCAGTCTTTTATTTGATTTTATTTTCTAAACAAAACTTGGCTCTGTCATCCTGCCAACTCTTTTATGTTTTCCTTAATTAAATCATTGTGATTTTACATTTTCTGTAAAGAGAGCATTATTTTATGAGTTAATATCTAACATTGTATTCCTTTCTTTGTTTTCTTTTTCTTTCTCTTCTACCATTGGATGCAATGCACTGGCACTAGTGAACTACAGCCCTCCCTTGACAGGGCTAGGAGTGCTAGTACCAACTGCTTGAGACCAGATACTAGTTTGCATTCACCAGAACGAGAAAGGTATAAAATAAAAACTTATAAATTTCTTGTCATCTGTGCTGGTGGTCTTTCCACGTTTCATTTTTCTTTATATGAGTACTCTACATTCCTGTACATTCATGTCTGTTTTGATATTCGTAGACATTTTTGCTCCTATATTCATGTATGTCATGTAAATTGTGTCTTGGAGTTTATAACTGCTTCTGGCTTCTTTCTTTGTTTCAGTTCAAGCTGATGTCATTGTTTGCAAAAGTCCTCAGTATGCTGATAATAGCATTACAGTGTTGAGCATTTTGACATTACAGTGTTGAGCAAGTATCACTTGATTGTTAATCATCATCATTTGCTAAAAAGTATTACATGTATTTCTTGCCTGCTTTGTCGACCGCTAATGAGACAGTGACATAATTTATAAATTAGACAACAAAACTCTCACATTTTAATCCAGAACTGTAGTTTTTGAAGCCACGTATTTTCTATAGGACACCCAGCCAAACCTCATTGCTTCTTTAATCTGATCTGTTGCATCTGCTTTTGCAATTACAAGGCAGTTTTTTGTTTGTTTGTTTGTTTTTTGCTCTGTGATGATAATTTTTAGGCTCACTGAAGGTTTAAGAAGTCAAGTTTGCAATTTACATGAAAAGACTATTTTGTCACTTAAATTGTGTAGGTATTTTTTGGATCTTTTCTGAACCTTTAATAATGGAATATCTTGGTTCAAAATCCTAGATGAACTAAATATAAGTGATGTGTTTGACAGATGGAATTATTCCACAATGGAACTTTTGAGCACCTTCTGGTTTTGGTTGATACTCACACCATTTTAGAATGAGGCTTTAGCTTCACTTAAGGCTATAGTAAACTCCCATCTACTATGACATAGTTACATCAGTTCAATGCAAACTAATATGGCAGTTAATATCAAGTTGCTTTCTCAGTGAATTTACAATACAGTTAGGAAAACTGTTGTATCAATGTATTATTTTGGGAAAGTAACTGTGAAGAAAGGCAGATGTTTTTCTTTGAGAAAAGATGTCTCTTGTTTTTTCATGTATGGGGGGAATTTTCCTTTCCCTCCTCCCCAGCCTCCTACTGCTCTTTTATTGCAATTTTACTGTTCTCAAGCTGTGCTCTTGTTGCACAGAACTGACTCATGCCCTACTGGAATATTTCAAGTTGATCTACATTAGTTCACTCTTTTTTTTAAGATAAAGCACTAAATAGCATAACAATGTATGCCTAGTCATCAAAAAAATAAAATAAAAAGAAATAAGGCCATCCACACTAAAACACAGGATACCACTCTAGACATTTTAGAAAACGTATTGTAGTATTATATTACTATGAGTGTACTTACATACAGCTTTACTAATGTGCAAGTAGCTATTTAATGCAATAATGTATGGATATAGGTAGTCTACATTTTGTAGTTTTATTTCAGGATGCCAGCCATCAAGCTGGAATTTTTAATGAACAGTAGCTGGCAATGGTAGAATATCTGGTTAAAATATTGTCCTCAAAACTGTATCTGTTACTGACATTAATTAGATCTGTTGTGTCCTTAGATTCATCTCCAGCAACATCTCCCCATGAGACATTGAGTAGAATCTGCAGCTTTTCAGATGTGCTGCTCACAAAGAGAGGAATTTGATTTCTTGTAATGGCCTCTACTGCCAGAAGTTTTTGCCAGTTTGCCTCTGGTTCCAGATCCAAAAAAACTGTCAAGAATTTTATGTGTTTGCTTCATAAATCCTGAGGCTGACTAAAAACTTTCTTTTGGCATGGCATTCTTTATGGGGGTGTAGATTTTTTTTTTTTTTTTTATTAATTAAATGAAATTCAAATTGAATATTTCCATGGTGGTTTTGTTGTGAATAACAAGGTGTGTGGCTTTGTCAGAGTGTTGTCATCAAGAATTTTTTTTTAAATTTATATATAGATATTATTTCCTAATTCAGCCCAATTTTGGCAGGAACGTGCTGTATTTAGTATCTAAAAATTTAATCTTACTAATTTAATCTTATAGTTTTGAGGTAAACTGATTTCAGGAAATTTCATACTCCACTGTTGAACATATCCACTTACACTTTAGCATGAGGTTACTCATCACTTGCATGTAATGATAGAAGAGTCCTTAGTTTGAAGAACAAATAATGAAGTTCAAGGAACATAGAAAACATTTTTGTCTGTGCTGAACAAGACAAGAGTAAGGCACTAAAATTACAGTATGGTAGGCTTATCTATCTTATAGGTTCACAACACCAGCAAATGTTAGAACGGTTCACAACATTAGGAAATAATATTTTTGTAAGCAAGTATAATAAAACACTCCAATAGTCAATATGGAAAAGCTTTTATAAGCTTTGTTACTGGATACTTTCTGACAAGAGATGGGACAACTCACTGTCAGGTACAGTTGATTCTGCTTCTAGCAGGGAGAAACACAAGGGTTTTGTGAAATCCAATCTCTAAAGCACAACTTTTTTTTTATATCTTATGTAGGAACTATGTTGAAGGCACTTCTAGTTGTGCTTATGGTACTTTTTTTATTTTAATTCACAGTATGGATTTGTAGATTTTAAAATATAGTCTTTCTATCCTCAAAATATAAAAATAAATGTGGCATTATATCTTCTTCAGGAAAAAAATTCTAGGTTTTTGGTCAAAATAATTATCTTGTCAAGGTTTGTAGTTATCAACAAGACATATTTTAGTTTTATAATTTAGTAATAATAACCTTCCAAACCCATAAAATCAGTTTTTGCTGCTACTGTAAGAGTTTTCATTGTCATCACCATGTCTCAAAATTTCTGCTTCTTTGTATCATGTCCTAAAACAGAGATATTTGTGTGCTATCAACAGCCTCAAATCACGAAAGCACATAGGCATGGGATTTACATTTCCCGAATCAATTTGCCTGTGGTTTCTCATCATTATAGCCTCTTCCCCAGATGATCTGGTGATATTTAAGACTGTAGCTAGTGACAGTTACTTGTTAATATCAAGTATGGCTTATTGATTGTGTAAATTTCTCGTGTTCCAAGAAATTATTGTGTGTAACAGCAGGTAGCACAAAATTAGTTGTACAGATTGGTAACACTTGTATGCTTTGCTCCTCAGAGGATTAGGTAGTGGAATTCTGAGCAAGTAAAAGTGAGTAATACAGCAAAGTAAAGAGTTCATGTAGAATAGAGTCTGCCTATCTGTAGCACACAGTGCAGCTCTGCTTGGGCTTGATCTGAGGTGAAGTAGGAATTCAAATGTTTCAAAGATCCCCAGTGTTTTTAATGTCAGCTGGTCACTACCACTCAGACAAGATACAAAGCTAAACTCGTAAGTAGATAACAGAGAAGTTGGAGCATCATTTGATCTGTTTAAGACTTCTGATCTGATTTCATTGTAAATTTTCTATTTTTTATTTTAGTAAATCTGAAGCACTTGGTGTTCATATTGCATGCATGCATTTAACAGCAATGTTGAATGTCACTATATTTAAAAATATGTGGAGTAAAATAACTGCTTGCAAGTATGTAATGCATTGTGGTTTTGATTATTTTCAAACACGTAAAGGAATAGATTACTGCATGTTTCTCTGCTTTTTACTGTGGCTCATGGTCATTAAAACTCAGAGCATGTTCTCAAAGATCATACTGCATGCCCTACTTAATTCTATCAAACGCTATTTGATACTTAGAGTGGATATCAGCATATTAAGGGCTTTGAGTGCACTGATGCATTAACATTTTCTTTGGCTCCTGCTTTGGAGAGAAAAAGAAAGTAACTGCTAACAACCTGTTTCCTCTTGAGAATTCCAGCAGATGTTCAAGTGATGCTAATCTCCTTGAAACCTTTGTTATTTGCATGTTGCATAAATCAAACCCTTTTCCTTATTACATGGACTGGAAGGATGCCTCAGAAAGTGACTATTACACAACTGTGCAGCATTTAGTTAAACGCTTTGCTGCTTTTGTAAATTAATCAGTCAATTTGGATTTTCTAAATTGTCACAGGTATACTCTTAGAACCCCATAACATCACCAAAAACAAAAGCAACGTCAATCTACAGTATACTGTGTGTTATTGTAAACTAAATGAAATTGTTAACAAAAAAGTCACAATAAGACACTAGATTATATAGTACAGTATTGTTAGGTTTATTAAATTAACTGTAAATTAGTATTTGCTCTTGTACTGAAGTTACTGAATAAGAAATGTACCTGTATAAAGCTGTTATTTTTATCTTTTAACTTTTCTGATTCTGCAACAGAACTTTATTAGGGAGTAAGAAATTCTGCCACACTATCACAGGAACAAGAGCTCTGGTTTATTTATCACTGCTCTGCTGAGAGAGTCCTTGACACATCAAGAGTCTCTGCTGCTGCTACAAAAAAGTTGAACAGAATCTGAAGAAACAGATGCTTGTGACAATCATGGTCATACCAGTTTTGTGATAGTTTACTCAAAAGCCTAACTCTTAAAATGTACTGAGCTTTTTATTAGTAAGCATGTGTACATCCATTGCAGTTAAAGCAAGAGATCTCTATAGGCAGATGAATGGAGCAGAAGATGACTCTTTCACTGTCTTCCAGAGAAGGGTCACTTTATGTCTTCAGATTTTTCTTATACTTCATGCTTCTATATATTTACCATGGATGCATTTTTCACTGCAAAGAGTACTTTGGAAGGAGGGATTAGTTTAACAATATGGTAGCCAATAGTCAATAGAAAATAATATCATATGCTCTTTTGAAAACTCTTCTGTTTTTGAATTACAACTTTCTGTTGTAATTCAGGCAGGCTTTTAAATAGTCTAGTTTTGGAGACGAATAATGTATGGTATGCTGTGTGGAAGATTTAAGTTAATATGATGAAGTTCTGATTTTTTGGAAACATATCCTTAGTTTCATCTGAAATAATTCTGCAGTGAGCAGCCATAATAATATACCTGGAAATTAGTAAAAATATTGTGATGCTCGCTTTTCTATTACTTTGTGGGGTATTTTTCCAGTCCCAAGTCCCATATATTTAATTTTATCACAGACTAAATGTCCTGTTTTTTTCCTATTTTGTTGAACGGGCAAACAGGGGTAGATGGTCCCCCTCCCTAGAGAGGAGACGACCTACTAGTCCCAGGATTCATATCCAGCATGCATCTCCGGAGGATGACAGGTACTAGGCAATTCCTCCCAGCTGAAAGGTGGCTTACTGCATCTTGCACTCTTAGAGGAGTATTCTGAAATTTGAAAGTATGCATGTTTGTAGAGACATACCTTTAAACTCCAGAAGCCCAAAATAAAATAGAGCTTTAGATATCATCCCTGCATTTTATCGAACTGTTATAAAGCACCTAGAATTAACGCCTTACAGATTTTCTGTTTGCCTGAACAGTTCCAAGCCATATAATCAGACGTCCATTAAAACAAAGCATTGTCTGCTAATGTTCTTCAGTCTGTTTTACCTGCTTCTGTAAATGGTGGTGGTGTTTTGACTATGGTGCTTTATAATATGATAAATACCTGTTGTAGAGCCTGTTTTTGTTTAGGTGTTTAATTTTACTGTCGTTTGTGTTGTTTTTGTTTTTTTTTTCTATTCAAACAAACTGTTCCTAATTAAAAAAAAAAGCCATGATATGTTGGAAATCTTGGTATCTCTTGCTGATTGATGTATATAGAAATTGGCAGTGCTCTTAAACTCTGTCCTAAATTAGGATGTTCATCATGGAAAAGGTTTTCCTAATAAGGTAGGTTTTGTTAAAGCCACCAGTGCTTTAAATACATTTTTACACAGAATGTGAATTATAGTTAATAGAAGCACTGTATGTTTTTCTGACTATGCACTTTCTACTCATGTCAGTTTGGGTGTTTCATTGCTTTGGCAGTGGGATTTTTGTTTGTTTTTTTAATTTTTTTTTTCCTGATTAATCTATATCAGAAGCAGACATAATTTCTACTGACATTTAAATTCAAACTTTTTGTGTTACAGTGAATGAGAGAATACACATGTAAATAATCCATACTTGCGTACACTCTTAAAAAAATCTGCTCTTAAAACTATAACTTTTTCAGTTACTTTGAGTATGGTGGTTGCTTTCTATTCAAGAATGCTTCCATTTGTTACATATGTACTCTAATTTCTCTTGTTTGCTTGATACTGGGTGTATTCAACTAATGCAAACTGGAAGAGTGTGAGACCTGTAACTGTGTTTGGATAACATTTCTCCTAAGACAGCATTATAAATTATAAAACTTAAGTTGTGAAACATTATTTCAAAATTGGCCATTCAGATACAGCATTTCTCAGTATTTTAACAACATTAATTCTGAGCCCTTTGGTGGGACAGTTATTAACTCTTTGCAAATGTACTTTGTATATTTTAGACATTTAAAAAGTAAATTTTTATTCACATTTTTTAAGCTGTGGATCAGAATTGATGTTAAAATCTTGTCATTCTAGTGATTAGAATTAAAATACATTTCAGTGAAAATGGGTTCTCATTTGGATGCCTCCATTCTTAATGCAGAATTAAAGCCTTCTGATCTCAGCCAAATTTTTCTGAATGTATCAAAGATTGAAATTATCTAATACCTTCTAATAAACATCTTGCAATATACAGAGTCTTTGGGGGGCAATATTTTGTGTTAGAGAAACTGCAGTCTCATTTCTTAGTGTAGTCAGTGCCCATCCAGTGTGTAGAATATTAGCGTGGAATGCTTTATCTTTGTAGAAATTTTCTGTTCTTTGAATTTACATTCATTTTGATTATTTTCTCACCTTTATTTGTCAGTTAGCCAGGAGTATTCAGTTCTGACTTTTTTATTTTAAGGTGTGTTTTTATTAAATTGACAGTTGATACTATGGGTGTTGAGTGTCTGATGGATGAACAGGGATAACTAACAATTACTTATCACCACTTTCAGATCATATTTTCACAGATTAATTGACTTCGACAGATGTCACCTTACAATTCATTTGAGAACATTCCAGAATTCTTATAGATTGCCCAATTTGCATATAAAATGCAATCAAGATCTATTCCTGAGTATTTCTTAAACGAAAGACTTACACGTGATTTCCACGTGATTTTGATCATTCCAATTCAATGTTTGCAGCATAGTATTTATTGATAATTGTTCATAATATGCATTTTGGTAAATATCTTGGCAACATTACTGTTATTCTGAAAATCACTTTCCATATTGGAAAAAATGACTCCTTGGTAAGCCTTGAAAAGATGAAGATGTGTTACACTATACTTCAGTGTTAAGAATTAACAAGTGTTTGGTTTTCTTGATTTTTTTTAAAGAATAACTTTTTGGGTTGAATTTGGCAGCTTTATTTTTGAGAGATTTTTTTTTTTTTTATACATTAGAAATTAGAATTAGAAATTCTCTCTAAAGTGAAAGACTTTCTGGTAATTGGTGAAATGTGAAAGCATAAGTAGTGCTAGAAACAAGAAGAATGGAAACTGAACGCTAGGTGAGCGTTTTACTTACACCGTTATTTTTTGGATGTCTTGGTATAAATTAAGCATGTAACCAAGACTCAATAAAATAAACATTTTAAAAATATTTATACTTTCAGTTCATGAGAAGTTGCTTTTAGTGGCCATGCATGTGTAAACTTCTTGTCTAAGTGCCATCTTGAAGCACCTGCTGAGCACAGTGGTGCTTCTAGTGCAGCCATGGGAACTTGAGGAGTGCTACATACTGCCAAGGGAAGGCTAATTTGACTGGAATAATTCTTGCCTGTTCTTTCAGCCACATTGTGCAACATGAATCGGGGGGGGCAGTTTAGAAAGACATGAACTGAAGTGCTGGGAATGAGTGAGGAGCTGCCAAGCCTTCAGAGTAGTGACTTCCCTGTTCACATGTGTAGATTCAGCCTTTCAGAAATCTCAGGAAAAATCAGGAAGTATTGAATGTGACATTCTTGATGTCTTAAGGCCTTTTTTAAAAATAGAAATGTGTTTTTTTTTGCCTCTTTGGGAGTTCTAGTTTTTAGTTTTGATAGCAATGTTCTTTCATTTACCTCTGTGGATTATGTTATATTTAACAGCAATAAGCAACTTGAAGCACGTGTCTTGTACATGAACTGTGAATAACTTGTCTGTATTTATAATACATATTGTGTTTATCTGTGTATGTAATGACTTACTGGTTTGGTATGAAATTTGTTGCATTTAGAACCTTAACAGAAATTTTAGCATTTGCTCACTACACTGAAAGTATGGATGCAGATTTAATTTGTATTTAGATTATTAATATACTGCAAATTTTATTGTTTACTTTCTGAGAGCTAAGACTGATACTTGAAAAAGATCTTATGTTGATATATCTTACTGAGAAAAAGAAATTAGTCTGTGTGATATATTCCATTGCAAGCTAACAATAAACCAAGATGCTAATAATATCTATGCCAAGCTGAAAACTATGAACAAATTCTGATGTTCTTAAATGACTTCAACAGAAATGAAACTAGTATAGAAATAAAAAAAAAATCCTGTATGTGATTTGAATTTTATTTTAAATTGCTAAGTTTTTCTGCCTTTACTATTGAACTGTTATTGTTAATGATTACCATAGCAGAACTGCTGGCAATAAAATATTAAACTGTATGAAATTTGCTTGCATTTTCAGGAAAACTGGAAAATTTCTCAATGTAAGGGAAAGATGTTGTATGTAGGTTTACACATTAGTTTAATGAACCATACTGTCATTTTTTTTTTTTTAGGAAGGATAACAGCAACTGTTAAGCTACACTGCTGCTGTTTGTTGTGTAGGGCATGAAGACTTTGTTTAAAATTTAAAATTGTGGCTTTCATCCTTTTTGCATCTTAGTTTCTTATATCTCTAAATTTTAACATTCTTTTAAAGTGTATGGACTAAATCAACAGAAGGGGAAGTGAGAAATAAGACTTAGACTGCAGATTGTGCCTTAATGCATCTGGTTTATATATGTGATTGCATGTCTTCACCTTCACTGCATGTGACCATCTCTCTGTTTTTGCTCATTCTGTCCAAATTTACATCCATGTTTCCAAATTTTGTGAAGAACAAGGACGCTGGAGTCTTGCATTCCAAAACAGGACAGTGTAGACCACCTAAGTGCTAAACTTGGAGCAGCACAGAGGTATCCTTATTTACTCAAATCATAGTTCCAAGTAAATGAGGTATTGGCTATAGTTATACATTATCTTTATATGCCCTGCATAAAGCTTTTAAATAGCTAGGGTTGGTTTTTTTTTTTCTCTTTTTACGTAGAAGTACATGGTATGCATGTATTGTTCATAGATAGTATTTAATTCCCTATAAAGTACATTGTAGAGGTAAATTCAAATATGGCATGAACATCTTTTTTATCCCCTATGCACTCATTGTACATTTGATACGGGCATGAAAGGATGCCTACCTGCAGTGTCCACTTAGGACTGCGAGTGCTGTGGTATGCTGGTGAGCTGTGCAGAATGCACACAGCATCATCTCAGCAAGAGGAAAGAAACAGAGAAAATTGTGATCTTAATCATACTTTTAACACCTGCTGCTCACAGTAACAGAACATAGAGCAGAGAAAAAAGTCTGTTCAGTTCACTGGAACTGTATATTACATTTTCTTCTTTTTCATACTACAGTGAGTAGTCACTATGTACTCTTTTTCTCCACTGTACTTAATGCCACAGTGTCAAGAGTGACATAAAGGAGTAAGGGAAAAATAAAACCCCTAATAAACCAAGCAGAAAGTAAAAAGGGTGGCATCATTTGGAAGATCATGCTGCAGTCTGTGGATCTACTGATACATTCAAATACTTTGGTCACTTTAGGTTTTAATTAAAGCTATATGTGTTTCTTATGTTTCCTTGTGTATCTACCTTGTGTTTGACCTGGCAAAAGCATAAATAACAAATGGGAATATATTCCAGAAAATAAATCTGGAAAAGTCAGTTTGGTGATAAAGGATCTTTATTCCAAGAGACTATTTTTTGTAAGAAAATGTTATTTTGAAAACTGGAAGGCGTTGGGTATTCATGTGTACCTCTGCTCATTAAAAAAAATAATCACAAACATGTAAGAAAACACACATTATATATTTCTGCATTTTTTCCTTTTTCGTGACTCTGACTGTGTCACACTGTAATGCTGATCAAATATTGCAGTGAAAATACACTGTGATTATATTCTTTGAATATAAGCTGATGCTACAGCTGTTTGCGTATCTTCCAGTTCAGTCACTGGGTTACTCTTTGTATAACCACTAAGGTTTAAAACCAAATCTTTCAAATCTTTATTCGTTACTATAATTTATTTATTTATTTATTTTGCCCACAGTAATCCTTTTATACCTTAGTATAGAAGTTGATTGTATCACTGCAAGTTTCTTACTTATTTCTTCATTCTCTTTCCTGTGCGGTGTGCAAGTAAGGGTTGGTACTTTCCACGATCTAACAATGAATAATCATCACTGTCGTTCTTTATCCACTCCTGAAATTCTGTACACACTTCTTTTTCCCCTAAAAACTAAGTGTTTGTGATTATCAGAGGTTTAAAATTTAAATTATAAATCCTAATTTTTAAATTTTCTCTTTACTTTGGGTAATAATAGAAATTTGGAAACATGAGACTTGTCACTGTTTTCATAATCTAATAAATAAATAAGCTTCTAATACATTTCTATTAATCAGAAGAAAAAAAAACAGACTTGTTTCAGTCTTTCTCATAATCTTTTAACAATGTTAATGAACATTGTTGTGAACAAAATTTTTGAAAAGCCAAGTTTTTATCAATACAGTATACGTCAAATAACAGACTTATTTGAATCTGAGATGATGCATTATGACATGATGCATGATGCATTATAAATACAGATTTAAAAGCAATTCCTAAAGTTTCTGTTTGAATATTATTGGTCCTTTCTCTAGCATTTTTTCTTCCTACTGTCTACTCTGCTTTTGTTATAGTGCTAGCAAGAGAGCACTAATAGACCTAGGAGAAGCATTGTATCTAATTAGACATGATTGAAATGGGAGCTAGTGGCATGTCCAGTCAGGATTAATGTCATCTCCCTGTTTTGGTACCTCTTAACCTTCACACCACCAGCCTCAGTCAAAGCTAATCAGGGCCATTTGTTTTAATCCCAAATTCACAAACCTGTTCATGAAGATAGCTGTCACCTTTTCATCTGTCAGCCATTCCTGTTATTACTTTAACAATGCGTTAATAAATATGAGATCTTCATGGTTTTGTATTTTTTTCTTCTATGTTTATTTCTTTTCTGACTTATCATTCCACAGGCAGTCCAGAAAAGTGGAAAGATATAGCAGCCAAAAACAAGCTAGGAAAGGCTCCGCAGCTGAAACAGAAAGGTAGGATTGATGAGTAAATGTCTCTTATGATCAAACTGATTGCAGTGTTCATAATATACATCTAATACTACATTTGAAGCAGAATATGCATAACAATGCCATAAGCCATGTTACCATATGATTTACAGCATTATTTATAGCATCCATTTTATTATCACTGCTTGTAGTGTTGTCAATACCATACAATTTTTCTGGCAGTCTCCATCATTGCAGATTAATTGGGAGGTAAAGACTAGCAATCATACATTTAGTAAGCCAAAGTATGAGACCTGTTGCCACTGTCTTGATCTCTGTAAGATGAAATTTGGAAATGCACAGCATATTTCATTAGTATGATACTCACCCTTTTCTATGTTTTACCATACTTGTTTTTCAAAAAAATTGTCTGTGTTAAAATAACTTTAATAATGAGAAGAATACATGAGGAGACTAATAATTCAAGAGATATCTGATCAAATGATAAAGAAAGAGCTACACTATCACACTCCTATATTCCAAGCTAGCAATTTCATATTTTAATATAAAAAATGTTAAATTCTATATAAAAAGATGTTGAAAAATTCTGCAAGCTGTCATTACATAAAGTTAATATGGACACCGATACTTTACCTTCTGCTTCCACTGAATTTTCTTGTGCATGCATTATTATTGTAACTTTCAGTAGCAAATGCTTATGTACTCAAATTCTTAAGAACAAGTGGAAAAAATAAGGATACATGTTTAATCATGTGTGTGTGTATCTGGTTAAGCCTGTGTGTTGGCTGAGCTAAGAGCAGTGAGGAGGACTGAGATCCTGCCTTTTCCAGAAGATTGTTGTTTTCTTGATGAACAAAGGGGCTCATCTGTTTACATTGTGAGGATTGAAAAACTTCCATGAATAACAAAGACACATTTTATTTTCAAAGCAAATACACATTATCTAGAAAAAAAGTTCAGAACTTTTATTTTCTTTTACTGCTTCAAGGACCGGATTACTATTATTTTGGTTTTGAGGCTTCTGCTGTCCCAGCAGCAGTTTATTTCAATTTAGACCAGGCATATTGCCAGAGTTAAGGCTGAGGTCCTTGCTGTCTTTAAAACAGCAGCAGTTTTGCCTTTCAGTTCATTACATCCATATTTTTTCCTATTTTTAACTTCTGAAAACTAAGGGAGCTCCTGGGACCAAGACTGCAGTGGTCTCAGTTGTTGGTAATCATGCAGGCTGAATGGTTTTATGAACCTTGGCAAGAGGCTGAGAAAGAAGAAAAGATGAGAGTTGGATATAAAGTGATTGGGGTGGAAAAAATGGAAATGTAAGCATGAAATGGACATGGGAACATAAAGGATGGGGAAGGAAAATGAAATGTAAGAGATTCTAAAGAAGGACAGTGTAAACAGTGTGGAAGAAAGTGTCAGATAAAAGGAAATCCCACAACATATGAGATTGGAGGAATTAATGTATCTGTCTGGATGTACATTCACATTTCAAACCTGGTATTTCAGCATCTGAGCTGAGTGCATATTCCTTCTACAGATGTCAAGATCTAAAATACATACTTCACTAAATCCCATGTGTTTTTTTAGTAATATTATTGTATGGCTGGTGTGGATTATAATCGTGAAACCAAATTTCAGATATTTTTTTCTGAAAGGAACTGATTTGTAAGAACTGTTCTTATGAGGGATTAATGCTGAATACATTAACAGCACATGACTTTACCTCTAAGCGTGTAAGTTACATTTGTGAAAATTGTTTTTAGAGGCATGAGCAATGTGTTTTTCTAATTAAAATGACCAGCCTAAGTATGAAATTTTGAGATTTTTTTTTCCCGGATATTTCAAAGCTTCTTACAGTTCTTATGCAAGTTACAACATACATTTGATGATATATTCAGGTATGTGGGAAAGAGTAAGTCTGGAGATAATGGTGAAATGTTGCTACAGTGTCTATATATACAGAATTTATATGGAATTTAATGAATTCATACTTTAATCATTGCTGAGCTGAGATAAATTCTTTTCCCATTTTGCGTTGATTAGTTAAGAGGTAATGCATAATTAACTTAATGTAGTCATTATCAAGAGATAAGTGGTGGTTGGTTTTTTTGTTTGTTTTTAAGACAACCTAAAATAACTATTTCACAGACTATTCTTTTTCTCCTTAAGTGAAGCAAGTTTCCAAAAGTGTCAGTCACCATAGCTCCTTTTTTATTTTCCACAATAGAAAAGTAAGCTCTAGCAATTTTAAGAACAGTGAACACAGGGCAACAAAGGAGTGTAGGGAAATGTTGAATTATGTTTTTTCCTTTTAATACTTCACAGCATATGGTATAGATTTCTGTTTTCCATAAAATGGTTAACTACTATTAGAAGTGACATGCAAAGTTCTAAACAAATTGAAGTGATATAGTTTAGAATTACATCATACTGTTAATTCTGCACCAGTGCCAGAAGATTTTGATAACAGGCAAGTAATTTGCCTGTCAAATGGCAAATATGACTCCATAGTAATTCTTCTACTATCCATTTCTATCTTGATCTAGCTTTTATTTTGTAATTTACTGATGTTATCTACAAGTAGCTCAGGTGCTCACAGAGAATAAGATACCAGCATGCTATCAGATTCCCTCTAATACCCCTCAACATGCTCAACGTGTAAGATCACATTCTTAAGTACTGTGATATTTTAGGAAATCAGTGTAAGAGGAGGGAAAAAAAAAACATCCCAAAAATTTACAAGTGTTTTAACAGTTCCCTTAATGGTTCAGTGAGATAAGCCTGAAGATGAGACTCAGTATTTTCTGAAGCAGCTAAACTCCTGTGAAAATAGAAGATAATTTTATGCTTGTATGAATGTGACTACAAAAAAAAGTGGGTGAAAACAATTCATCAGAGTTCTGATGTGTATTCATCCATCCCTAATTTCTTACCCTCAAAATACTAAATTTAAGGCTGCATAAACATAATGATACAGTTGTTAACTGTGCTTGCTATGAGTTATGTAGGTCCCTGTACCAAAGGTGTGTTGGATTGGTACTGCACTCTTAGTTTTAGTTTTTCATAGTTCCACATGTGCCAGCATGTGGTTTTGTTGTGATTTATTTATCTGTTTATTTTTATTGATGTCACTGAAATATCAGTCTGAAGAGAAGAAAGCTTGATTTTCCTTGTGGGAAGGCAGATGTGGAACCTGTTGAATGCCCCTGTGGTCCATGGCCAGTTGAGTGACAGTTTGTCATGTTACCTTCCTCTGGGAGAAGCAGTGATACCAAGCAACAAGATACCAACATATTTTTGCTGTAATGTCATTTATCATAAGGTGTCCTTTCTCTCAAATTTTCTCTCCTTAATTCCGTCCTCTCTATACTTCTTAACTTCCCTCTCATTTCTTCAGACACACACCAGCTTTTGTCTCCCATCCTTGTTCCTCTGTCTCATTCTCCAAATCAGATATTGTAGACTTCTTCATTTCTGCAACTGATCTTTCTTCTAGACCAGCATGGATTACATTTATATTTGAGACAGAACAGGCATTTTCAGATCTTAGCTCATCACCTTCATCTTGAGCATCCTGTAAAATCAGGGAGTCAGTCCCTGTAAGAATGTTGCTGCTACTGCCAGAACAAATTAGGAGTTTAGAAAGTGTCAGGGTTTAAGAGAAAGATACAGCAAAAGGAACCAAATCCTATTTTTGTATCACCGTGGCAGGACTTCCATGTAGGCTGCCATTGGTAGGTCCTGAAACGAAACCTTTATTCTTGGTAGGCATCTGTGTAAATGTTATTTCAAATGCAATCTTTTTTTATTATTATTTATTTATTGTTATTATTAAGGATAATTTGTAAGTGTGTGATAGCTTTACATTACAAACTAGGCAGTCCCTTGGTTATTTTGATTGTAACTTCGGGGAAAGATGTGCTGTGTGTGTGCAGGGACAGTTCATAAATCTGGAGAAATTAGGAAATAGAAACCCACAATGAAAAGATATCATGAGTGGCTTTATGGACATTTCTGAAATAAAGGATGCAATATTATCATTTACAGAAAGCTACATTGCCAGAAAACCCAGAACTAGTAAAAAGGCACAGGTGGACACTGACTTAGTCGCTCTCCAAACCTGAGATGTTCTAGGTTGTCTAATACTTGCAAAACACGTAATCAAACTACTAATCATTGTGCTGCTAATTACACTAATACGATTAATCGTTTTGCTGCATATTTTAATGATGTTTTCATCAGAGTTCCTTCAGAACTGTATAATTGTGTCAGTTTCTGCCTCAGAAAGTTACTTAAATAGATTCCTTGCTTCAGACTCCTAAGGAAATGATGTGTGTGTGCAATTACCAGTTGTCCTTCTTTGGGACATTAATTGGAAGCCAGCTACTATTTTTGATAAAGACAGAAGGTATGTTTTGAAAACAGAAATGCTCTATGTTAAAACTAGGTATTTATAGCCTACTCTGTGCTAGCCCTTTTTATCTCATACATGTTATTAGCTCGTGTTTGCTGTTTGAGACGCAGCTAGGGTTTTGGCCAATGGTCTACCCTATTCAGTGCTCAGCAGTTCCACAAGTAGAGTGATGTGTATCTGCAGCAGTGAGTGTTCTGTAGTTTATTCTTTTGGAAATGGATTTATAATCTGAATTAATAACTTGGGTCTGAAATGCCCATCCTGGCCCTGCAGCCAATGTCTGTGACATTCTTTGGTGGAGGGGGGCATGGGAAGGTGTGCCTAGAGCTAACAACTGAATAGTTTCTTTTTGGCCCTGATGTTTTAGGGGTCTGCTACCATGTCTTTCTAGAAGGGGATTTCCAGCCCCACGAACAACTGAACAGCCAGTCATTAGGGGAAAACATCACGCTCGCTCCAGGTCGAGTGAGCACTCTAGTGTCAGAGCCTTATGCTCTGTGCATCACCTTGCGCCCGGAGGCTCGGCTCCACCTTCTCCACTTCTGACAAGGTTGCTATTACATGTCCAGTTCAGCTTTCATGTTCTGCCTCCCAGGTGTCAGTGTGGTATTGTACTTTCCTGAGCATACGTGGCGCGTTCACTCATCCTGGCACTGTAGATTATCCTCTCTTCATGGTATTTACACTTCCCCATATCCTTTATGCTGCCTATCTTCACCATTTAGATGGTACTTCTGTTGATCTTAAATAGTTAGTGTAAGAGTAAAAAATCAGCTGTGTTTTGTCCTTCCATTGTTGTGTTTTGTTTCGTATCCATCTGAAAATTACTTAAGTATTTTGCTTCAACACCATGCAGGAAATCACATCCTTTTCTGACTGCTAAATCTCAGTCTTAAAGAAAGTCAGTTGATCTACGTAGTATGAAAGCTAAAATTAATTTGAACTTGTACAAGTGCATTACTTAAAACTGCAAGTTATCTACTTGCCTCTTAGCACAGTAGATAAACAGTGCTTTTCTGCAGTAGTTAGTATGGTATTACTGTAGCTGACACGGATGCTTACTTAACAAACTGTCCCTCTCAGCAATCTCCTTCTTTTCACCTTTGCTTTACTTAAGCTTTTTCTCTAGTTATTACCAGTGGCCCTACCTATTACTAATGCAAACTTACAAGCATTCTAAAAGTGCCCATTATGTTAAAGGTGCTGTATGTGTGTGTAAGAAGTCAAGAAGCCAAAGTGCTCTGAAATAGTGGTAGATACAACTCAGCCAAAGTCAAGGGGATTACAATATTTGCTTAGGTAAAAATACTGAAAATCTTATACATTGTTCTGTTCACTTTCCAGTTTGTGCACACACAGACACACACATGACACACACACACATCTAAAGATGTTTTTCCTTGTTTAAGTTCAAGGAAAAAGTAACCCATAGTGCCGTGGCATTAAAAGCTTGCTGTCTAGTTCTGTGATCTTGTGCAATAGGGCATAATCACGAAGGGAACACGAAAGTCAATGAAATATAAAGGTGACATATTGTGCTGTCTTTGTACCAGTAGAGGAGAACAATAATCATAAATGATTTTTAGAAAATTGCTTTTAGTTGAGTGTTGTTCGACTTGTACTTTCTCAAAACAGAAAAAAACAGAAGGATAGAGAATTTTTCTCGTTAGATGGAAGGCAGTTAGAAAAGCTAAACGTGAAGCCATAGAAGTTGATTAGTTGTCCAGTCCTGAATACATGCATAAGGCATACATCAAATGCAAATTTTTTCAAACTCATCTTCTCTATTTGCAGTTTAATTTGTGTCTGAAAATAAGAATATATCAATTCTCTTCCTTTGGGTTATTTTATTTTATCTTCATTTCATCTGCAGAATACATCAACAAGGAAGTCCCACCCAGTCTCCTCCTGCAGACACATCCTTCAGCAGTCGCAGGGGAAGACAGCTACCGCAAGTTCCAGTAAGAAGTGGCAGTATAGAGCAAGGTATCAAATAATGAGCTTATGATGGCTCTAACTCTTTGCCTTCTTACTTTTCTTCGCTTTGCTTAAATTCTGCTTTCACAGCTACATGTTAAAAGCTATAACTCTGCCAAATAGAAGAGAATGAAAGCATATTTGTAGTCTGGAAAGTCTAGTAGATTTTGAGTGGTGGGTTACTATATGTGGTTTAACTGCCTTAATTTTCTAGTAGCCTTTTGTATTTGTCTGCTTTAAAATTCCTGTTAGAGTCATGGTAGTTTCCATGAACACATCTAGTTTGTATTCAGCCAAAGAAATCTGGAGCAAATATTTTGACAGTGTTATTCAGTTCTTATTTTATGGTTTGTATTAATTGCTGTGTATTGTTTACATAGACTAATCGTAAACAAAAATCACAATATGAAAAATTCCTTTTGGAGTGGGACAAGTTCAGTGATTAAAGAATTAAAACAATCAGTGCAAGAAATATCAAGGCACAGTTCATCAGCTCTTACATTATTAAGAATAAATTGATTGGGCAAAGAGCGCTGCTCTTTTTTGAAGATGACAATGAAGACTTAGTGGCTGTGGGAGGTGGTTTTTACAAGCTAACATCGAATAGGTGCAAATATTGCTACTGCCTTTTCTAGCAACGTATTACACACACAGCTTGAACTATTATAGAAAAATCAAATGGCCATAAAATTAGTTATAATTTCACAGTAGGTAATATGTGTGCATTCAGGTTTTCTTTTGTGTTTAAAAGCCCATTCTTCTCATTAACAAGCAACAACTAATGATTTTCTTCTGTGTGAAAATGAAAGAAATGTTTCAGATGATTATGTGTTGTGCCTCAATGAACCTTATTATGCCTTACTGAAGATGGCAGATCTTTTTCTTAAATAGGTAATAGTGCTGACTATGACCTTTTAATCATGTTAGATTGCTGTATTTTTTTGTATGATGTAAAGTCACTTGCATTAACATAGATAGTCAGTTTGCATTAATTTTATTAGACTGAACTGTGATGGCATAGTACACCTTTAATTAACATACATTAAAATGTGTTCTTGTTTTATACATGTGTGTATTCTGAACGGTTAAAATACTAATACAATTTTTTTTTTTCATTTAAAAGTTTACTTTTGAGACTTTTCATTGTGTTTCGTAATGAACTAAGGACTTGATTATAAAAAGTTTGAATATACATATACAATTTCTATTTCTACATACTAGTAAGTGACAGCTTTTTAGGGAAGTGAAATGAAAGGTGCATTTCAAATTTCTTTCATGCTTCATCTGCAATTTCAGAACTTGGTACAATATACAATGACAATTCAGCTTTTAATTTATTTTGGTTTTCCTGTGGGTATTTGTCTGTTATCTTTCAGCTGTTCTTGGTAACTGGTGTGTTGGGAACAAAATGCTAGTTAATGTTTTGTTAAAAACTTTGGAAGCGAATGTAGAACATGTTGTGGAACTAAGTAGAGAAGAGGTTGTATGGGGTATGCAGAAGAGCAAAGAAAAGTGAACTTTAAACAGAAGGCAAAAGCTGCTGTTCGTTTTAAAAGCTATCAGTGCCATGAATATCTGTAACACAGTGCTGTTTCACTGAACTCTTATTCGTGTTTGTGGTTCATATGCTTGCGCCATATGCAGAAAATAAATAGGTTATTTACTTTGTTATGCATCATATACCGCCGATGTCAATATGGCAGTGGAATTGAAGGCTGAACAGATTTTCTTCTTTACATAGTATTTTGATTTTGTGTGATTAGCTTATCCATTTGAAAGAAGAATTTTCTGATAATGCCCAGGTTTTACACAGTGTTCAGACTGAGAGTGTATTTACAAGGAAGTACTAAATTTAATAGATTTTGCAAAATATTTTTAAATGTTTTGACAGTATCATGTGATATAAGCATATTAGTATGTATAAACTTAACCTTCTCTAGGTGAGTAGCTTCAGTGAGGCTATAAGAAATAATATTTGCTCTGATTTTCGGTATCAGATTCTGTTATCAGTTTCACCTCTTTAATTCCTGCTGCGTGAATATCAGAGTTTGATGAGTGATTAGAAGTGCGTTGACTCTAGTTACAATTGAATCTCAATATATTTGTCCATGAAAGATTTTCATTCACTGTACTTTGAACTGAAATATGACTTAATTTGATTTAAGTTTGCAGTCACCATGGGTACAGAAAATGTCAAAATCCAGTGTGATCTATAAATGTTACAAGAAGTAATGTTTGAAAGTTCTTTGCATTTTCTTCATTTAAAAATGAAGATCCTTATTGGTGGTCAGTGTTGATATCCTGCATATCAAGGAAATACAATGTGATGTACTGTAAAGTATCATTTTTGTGGTAAAACACTTTCTTACACTACACATACACTATAATTTTGTTATGTCAGAAGGGTTGAATATAGATCGTATCAATCTATATCTGTTTTGCAAATCATAGTAATTGTTATAGAAAGATTGAATGACTTTATATCAATACTGTTGTTTTTTGTTGACTGTTTACATATTCAGGAAGTATACAGGAATTGAGTAATTTTTTTACTCCTTGAAATTCTCATTGTGGAAAATATGAGAGTTAACAAAGAAGCAAGAGTGGCTGTGGTTTTCTTCTCAAGAAAGTGTGATATTTTATCTCTTTTTTGTCGCAGATGATAACCCACATGCTAATAAGGCTTCTCCTAGGACTAACGGTGAATCTTAGACATTCCATTCTTTCATTATCAAGTTTAGAACTAAAAAACAATGGCTATTTCTTTGCTTCTATCAAGCGTTATTGTCTTAGTTACTGCTTTGGTTTTAAAATTATAAACTGTCAACTTGTGACTTAATTGAGTAGGTTCTTTCCAGTAGATCTACTTCGTAAGAGAAGAAAGTCTTGTAGGAAGACTAATCTTCCCCATTCTGTTAAAGATGTAAACGTGCATGTACTACCAATGAGGAATGGGGAGAAAAAGTAGAAGAAAAAGTTCAGTAAAAAGATAATCTAATAACCACAATATAGCATAATTGCGTGCACACACACAAAAAAACAACTCAAAAACAGTAAAACCAAGCTCTTTGGTGACTGTTCTTAAGGAGATAGCTACTTTGCCTAGTACTGAAAAAACTAGAAATCACACTGGCTATTTTCTCTTGAAAGAGTTCTGTCTTAAATTTTTAGCCACGCCAATACATACAGATGTTTTAAAGAAGTTACAGTTAAGATTGTAGGCTCCTGTGTTTGTTAGAGAACATGACTTTTATTTTAATCACTGTGATATTCAAGGAGGGCATGGCAATATGTTTCTCTTTGCAACCCCATTAGCAGTAATTTCCACACTGGGTTGTTAATGCAACTGCAGATCTTGAGATGCTTGAATATAAAAGTTTACTCTGATTTAGGCATGTCTGTTTGTGTTTTCTAAAATTCACAATGTAGTAGTATTTACCTTAACTTGTGCTGCAAGTGAAGCATTACTCGTTCTTTGTTTTAACTGAAAATTCTATATAATGATCTGATAATACAGAGATATTTTGTTACTAAAGCAATAAAATTCTAAGCTGTGATATGGACAATTCTGTGCTCTCCATATATTATCTTTTGCCAATTTGCAATAGAGTTGCGTCAGAGTTTATTTGCATCATGTTTGATAGAACTGTGCAAATCACTTAAGGAAGCTAAGAGGGGTGGGAATTCTTCACTGACTTTTTTGTCTGTTCGTACAACAAATCTGTTGTGTAGCTGCACAGCTTTTAAATGGCACTTTTGTATAAAGTATACTTCCGTGATCTTTACACTACCATTTTATCTCACACCAACTCTCAGATCTCATCAGGATTTTCACTTGAATAGGGTGGGTCTCTGCACTTCTGCGTAACAATTAATTACTAATAAAGCCTGAAGCTCTGTATGACTTATTTACACTCCTTTTTAGCAATGGTAGATACTGTTAGGAAATGTAGCAAGTGAAGAAAAAACATGTCGTATACTATTGAAATCTTTGAACCAATAAGATAAATGATGATGGTTTGTAGTATAAAAATGAGCTAATTCAAGGAAAGCAGGTCTTTCTCCATGTGTCTGCTTCTGTTTGACACTTCACGGCTTGGTTTCGCTTTCCCAGCTTCAACAGTTTCATGTTCAAAAATCATGTAATGGGAATAAGAACTGCAATAATCAGCAACCTATTTACATACAAAGAGTACCAATAAACATAACTGAATTAGAGTGTTTATATGTTTCCAATGGCAGGTATTTACAGAAGTAAGCCTTATGCAGTGATCATTAGAAAAATGAAACTCTGACCAGCATTAGGTATTACTGTGTCTTGGCTTATGTCACAAAAAGCTGCATAGCTCTTGTATATGCGGGTTGAAGTGCATGTGCGTGTGTGCAGCTGTTTCGTGAAGGAAAGTCAAACTGAAATCTCTGTTGGTAATGAATGGGAGATGCTTTTATGAAGTTCATGTCTATAATATGTACATAAAGTATGTGTACAAGTCTTCAATGGTAGTCACAACATCCACAAATGAAATGTTTCAATATCCTGTGTTCCTTTTAGCAAACAGGAATCATAATTTCATATGGAAAATTAACACGTTGAGAAATAAGGGATTAGAGTTGCAAGTATCTTTGTATATTTAATTAAGATCCTTAAAAAAAAAAAAAAAAAAGGAAAAAAACAGTTTCATGTGTATGTGAAGTTAAATGTAATTGCAGTGAGAGTCTGGCTTGAGTGATGGTAAAAGATCAAATGCTTGCAGTTAAGACCCTGTCTTAGATCCATCATTGACTGGAAGAAGAAGTGATTTCAATTTTAGATTTTAGTCTTCTAGCACTGTTTGTTTTGTCTTCATATTTCTGGTTTTATTTTGAAATTCTTAGGTGACACTGCATATTTTGAGGCAGCTTGTGGAATCTTTACTCTCAGCATTGCTAACTCTTGCAAATTAATTCAAGGCTCGTAGTCTTTAATGTTTTCCTTAAACACCTTAAAGACCAGTTTTCCATGGTTGAGTGGTTATTGAGTATTACAGATTTCCATTAACCGAAGATAAATTTGTAATACTCAGAATTTCAGGAAAGGCATCAGAAACTAAAACTGGGTGATGTCTTTCAGAAGTCAGAATGATACTTAAAGCAATGTTCGTAAATTTCGATGTGAGAATACTGTTTCAGTGGAATATTTAAGGAGTCCACAATCTGGTTCTCAGTAACTTCATTGTTCCTGTTAATTTTGAAGAAAACGTCACAGGCTTTATTATTTGTCATGGTTTGTCATTTTAATTTTCTGCATTACTTCTGCATATGCCAGAGTACTGCTTATTGTACTTGCCATTGTCACACGTAACACATTTCTTTCTCTAACCTTAAATTTGCTGATTTCTTTTTCTGTTTCCATCATTCCGTGCATTTAATTCATTGAAGAACAAGAGAATTATTACTCTTCCACAAAAGGTAAATATGTATTTATTTTTTTCTTAACAAATGTTTGGCAACTGTTAATACTGGCTTTTCTATTAGTATATTCCATGTCAGTTTACAGCATTTACTTAATAGCATTTAGCAGGTGAAAATTATGTTTCTCAAGTATTTATGTGTTTTTATCCCTCTTTAGAATCTGACAGTAGTTTATTTTGTGATTTCTAGATTTCCATATAAAAATAATAGACTTACAAGGAGCAGTAATGGTATTTTAACTGGCAAAGAAGCTGCTTTGAATGATTTAAAGTTCATCCATAGATGAAGTTTTAGCTACTAACTTCCTGAGCTCTGCACAGCTGCTGGTTCCAATACAATCGTAACAATGCAGCTACAGCTCTTGGCATCTATGAAGGATGTTTCCTAGATCTGGGCTTAGGAAGAGCTGAAGTGCTAATGACCAGAAACTACCCTTTTCTCTACTATCTATCTCTACTATCTATCTCTACTATCTATCTCTACCTAGGCAGAGATTTTTGAAGAAAAGTTAGTTCAACCTGAGCTCTGTTTTGTTTGCATGGCAAGCCCCTGACACTCAGAAAGCTGAGTGTGTTGTAGGGCAGGTTTCTGCGTGCAGGCAGACAATCCTCACAGGTGCAGTTTTGACCTCCTGTGAATCCCCCCTGGCATGTGCTGATATCAGTGAATTGGTGAGCAGTAACAAAAATTCTTCAAGGCTTTGCCATGAAGTGACAAGTGCAGCTTGTCACACCCATGCCAAAACGTGTTCCTCAGAAATCCTATTTTTTTTCTGAAAGCTGGAGTTATCTTGGAGTCAGAATGAATCTTGGAGAAAAAGAACATTTTAATCTCTCCAGTGTTAATAACAAAATGCTAACCTGCGTGAACATTAATGCAGCAATTTTAACTTTTTCTGAATTTGAGTCCTTCAGCTATCGGGCTGTTCTGGTTTGAATACAGGCTTTGGTGGATTGTGTCTTCTACAACTTATTTGCTTTTGAAGGGCTGGATCCCACTGATGTGTTCATACTTGCTGAAGTAAAATACAGCAGCTACTCCACTAGGCATGTACTCTGACATCCATGTCAATACTGAGGAGTTTGTTTTCACCATAATTTTATTTTTTAATTTGGTACTAGCAATTGGACATTATTTTGCAGTGTTAAGTATGTACTATGAAATGTCTTGAGAAAGTACTAAAAATGGTTGATTTCATAAATTGTATCTGTCACTTTTGCTTTCTTCATTATTTATATTTCTCCCAAACAGAACAATACAATTAATTGTGACAGTTTATTGTTTGTGACTCTTCAAGTTCACAAGCCTTGCTCTGATTTGGACTGAGAAACTAGAACATGGCTTAACAGGTTTGTGAAAGAACTTGTTTCCATGAGATTTTGATAGATTTGGCCCAGGTTTTGGGAATGTGTAGAAAGTCGTGGGGTACTCCAGCCTCAGGGATTCCTGTGGCTCATGGGAGTTGAATGCAGATTAGAAAAAATAGGTGGGCAAAAGAGGTGCTGGGCAAGAGGAGTGGCAGCAGTTCCAGGGACTGTGCATAACCTGATGTTCAGCTGATTTACTTTAGTAGCCCATTATCACCTCTGACTTCCCCAGTGCATTTAGGAAATAAAAGTAAAGGAGAAGAGAGAGATGTGGGATGTGAGTCGAGAGTTAGAGGATGTTATGTAGCAAGGGACACAGCCATGAACCAAATAGTATACTGCAAATGTGAGTCCTTGAACACAACTTGAGAAAGCCACAGCATCTTCTAGTCAGGTAGAGGGGCAAAATCTGCTCCCTTGCTGTCTACGTGTAGATGATATGTACTTTTAAAAAGCATATATAGAGAGAAGTGATAACAAATTCTGTGTATTCAAAAAATATACAAAAATTGAGTTTTCAGTGTTACTAGCCTTATATTTCAAAACATTCATCTGCTCATGATTTCAAAACTCAGGTGTTTTTTTTTTAAGTTTCCCAATTCAGCTTTTTGTGAATTTTTGAAGTCCTGAAAGTTTTCATAGGGATTCTTCATAATATGCATATTGCAAAATTCAGCCTGAAGGTTGAGGAAAAAATTACTTAGAGAATCTCTATTATTTCTGAAATGTTTCATCCTCATCCACTGCTGGTGTCAGCTCTCTGTTCTGTGCTGCCCAGCCAGCCATGAGTTCTTCCTTCCTTTCTCCCTTTCCTTACCTGCTGCACTAGGGAATTCTTCCATCCAGATCTCACTGCTGCCTTATACTGACTTTATTCTGGATATTGCCTTGCATAGTTTCATCTCCAGCTTCCACCTTTCTCAAACCTGATACCATTTTATTTTGTTTTGTTTTTTGTTTCCAGTTCCCATCCATGGAACATCTAAACAGCACAGAGAGATGAAATTCCTGGCTTTTCAGTGTAGATCAGCATATATACCTTTATATGAAGACTAACAGTGAGGAATAGGTTGATCTGTGTGTTGGCTTCTGCAGTAAGCACAGTTCCCCATTCTTCTGCAGGAATATGCACTGTTTCCTTGACTGGGCACAAATGGGGAGAAATCTGCATGAGAGCAGAGCATTGATTTCTGTTGCTAATTAGCAGTGCAATAACAATCCTGGCAATAGATTCCTCTGGCTTCTGTCAGCAATCCAGTATTTGTTATGGTGTCTGGAGATGGCCTGAGCCTCAGTTTCTTGATAGAACAAATTAAATCAATTTCATTTTTAATGCATAGGCATTTAGGGGCATGGTTGGAGTTAAAAGAATTCATAGAAAGCTGCTTCTTATTAGATAAGTTTTCATTTCAACTTACTTTTCAGTAGCTTCCTTTCTGTAAGCAAATCTGTCATTTTAGACTTCCAGATTTTTTCACTTGAAGTTTGTATCATGAAGAAAACGTGATATCTGATGGTAAAGGTTACAGCCTTCTTAAATCCTGGTGCCTTATTATTATTTACCTTACTCCATCAATTAATAGCTCAGGTAAGACTTGGAGGTTGTACTGTGTATATAATTTTCTTTGTGTTTTCATCGTCTTGAACAGAGATATGCATACTGCCTCAAACTAATTCCATGTTTGTTGAGTTTGTCATCTTTACCTGAAATGATATAACCAGTGCAAAAACATCCATAGGTTTTCTATAGCCTTGAAGAGACCAATATGATTATCAGCTTTAATTACAGATGTGGTAATACCACTTGTCATTCTGGTAGTTTTCTGGCCCATATTTTAGTTTGAGTAGGAATGCCCTTTTAGGAAGGAATTTTCACTTAATCACTGTCAGTGTTGGAAATTTTTGTGCTTAACCACCTGATTCTTTTAAACATATGCTGTATTACTTATCTGGCCTTACCTATTTTATCCTAGGTACTGGATTTTATTGAATGTGTCCACTCAATCAAAGGGCCTTCTACTCATAGTAGTCTTCTCCTGTGTAAATAATTACAGACCACAGTCAATTAACAAATCTACTTTCTTTTTAGTCATTCCTTAAATCTCTTTCTGCAAAACTGTGTTATGGACTTTGTGGCTTCTCCCTGAATCTTTTCCAAGAAGAGTATGCTTGGATTGACAGTCTGCTGGAATTACAGTCTTCCTAAAATATCTGAATCCACTGACACTAAATTATCTTCCAGTTTCCTTTCTCTCTACTTTTATGTCCTAGAGCTCCTTATCACGTTATGGCTTTAAGAACTTCTTGGTTTTATATGTACAGAGGCTTATCTCCATATATATTGCCAGTGTTTCCCTTCTCTCTTGCTTTATTACTAGCTAGGTGACAGCAATTCTCTGTTTCCAAGATAGTGATATTTTGCTGGAGCTGCCTATGTAAACAGTGAGTGTTGGGCAGAAAATAATTTTCCTAGGAATTTGATGATGATTAGAATCTAAGACAGTCACACTGCTGTAAAAGAGATCTTTTCAGTGCAAAAATAATTGTAATCCCTTTTCTCAAATGTATGAATGGTTTCTTTTTTAAATGTAATCAATTGTCAAGCTTCAAAGCTTTCCAAAATCTGCAGAATTGAGGCTGTCTGTGATATTTTTTGTAATGTGGAAGAGATGGATATGTAAATGTACAAGCTGACTGGTTTAAGACCAGAGCTAGTAAAGACTAGCTCCATACTAGTTCAATATTGCTCCTGTGATACAGTCTATACATACATGAGCCCACAATTCGTATACTGAGCTATCAGCTTAGTAGATAGCTGCCATTTAAGAAATCATGCAAATGATATCTACTTTGATACTTCTTTGAAAACTTAAAGAGGAGACTTAAAATCTCAAAATTACTTCAGTTTATTTTGCACTGTTCACTACTGTTCTTGCAGCTTTTTATAGCAGTCACTTTCATAAGACTGGAATGTTTTAGATACCAATGCAGGTTGAATTAATTTTAAAGTCAGATTTTATGCATTATTAGATACACAGACTTCATATTGCAGAAGTATGCCATTTGCAGCATTATCTCCAAATAAAGTTGTGAAGTATTTCTAAAAAAAAAAATACAAAATTCTGCCTTTTCATCTATCTGCCATAATATATGTGATCTGTAAGTACAGTGTATTGCTCATTGTTCTGTTATTCTGTACATAATTGAAAGGATAGGCAGTATTCTAACCAGGCCTAACCTCTGTATTTTTTAATCAGCAGATAGGGGATGAAATATGCCCACAGTTGTCTGAGGATAGAGATAGAGATGTTAGGCTGTTAAACAGTTAATGCTATCAGATGCAATTCTGTAAACCATGCCATAGTGATGACATATTATAAGGAATTTGACTGTATATAAATTCTATAATCTCTTGAAAAAATTAAGAAATGGTTCTTTCTTCTTTCAAAAACAATCAAAATAACAAAAACAACAAAACCACACCTACTGTCCTATCCTAATTTTCCTTCCTGGGTAGGTTTCAGGCTGAAAATTGAAGAGCTTCAGTCATTTTCATTAGTTTATTCCCTACCTCCTTTAAGTCACATTTTTTGGATTTGTGTATTTTAGACAATCAAAATAGAGCATGTATTTTAAATCCTTCTAGTCCAAAAAAAAAAAAAAAAAAAAAGAAAATCTCTTTCCCTATGCTGGAAACATATACAAAGAACTGTCTTTAATGTTGTAGAAAACTACTTTTATCAAAAGAAATGCATGCAACTTCTTGAGATTATAGTAAAAAAAAACCAACTCTTCCATTATGTATTTATGTTAAATTGTTCTTTTTCTCATACCATTATCAACTCTACAAAGGTTAGAAATCCAGATTAGTTATATTTCCAACATGTGACTTACTTAGAATCCTGCAAGATATTTCATGAATTACAGTGCAGAGTGCCCAGTGTTCAAAAGGATCTCTTAAATGACATCTGAAGAAAAGACCCAGGAACAGCTGGTAGGCTTCTGGGTTAGGAAATAGTCTTAATCTTAGGAGACCATGTTTTCTGCTTTCAATCCCATTCACAGTGGAAGGTAGATGGGACTTGGCAGTGAGTTCAATCATAAACCACATGCTAACTAGAGAACTTCTGCTTATTTGATGGAAAACTATTCAGAATTATGCTAGGCATAGTTGGTTAATTATTGCTAGGTCAGTACAGTGGGTTGACTTCAGCCAGCAATTACGCACCCACAATTTCCTCACTCCCTGTTCCATCCACAGCTAGGTATGTGAGGGAATTGTAGGAGCAGAAGTGTGTAAAAATGTGTGGGCTGTTGTGGGTAGAGTTAAGGACAGTTTAGTAAGTGAAAGGAAAAAAAATTCAAACTACCAAGTGATGTAAAAGCAATTACTTACCATCTTCCACCAGTGGACAGATGCCCAGATAGTCTCCACGTAGTGGCTACCTTTGAAAGACAGTGTTATCACTGAATGAGAAACAGAAAAGGCCCTAATACTGTCCAAGCACTGCTCAGCAATAGCTAAGACATTTAAGTGCTGCATGTCTGAAACAAAGCACTGTATGGGATGCTGTGGAGAAAATTAACTCCATCCCAGACAGACTCAGTACTCTCGAGATTACAGGAGTCAGAATGGTTTCCAAGCAAAGTAAGGGAGTTGAAGAATAATATTTTGATTCCGTTTGTATGTCTGTCTTTTTTTCATGGCTTTATTGCTTATATACATTATTATTCTACAATCTCCACATAGTTTACACAAGAAAACTCCTTACAATGAAAGCTTTTCCTCTACATGTGCACCTCTTATTTAAGCAGTTTACTCCATGAGTTCTCTATTTTCAACACTTCTTATGCTGTTTGATCTCAGATCTGATTGAGCATCTCTGAAAGTGATGAGAGTGATAGCTCTTCAAAGCGTGACTGATGCACAACTGATGTTGGTGGTAGTTGGTGGTACCACTAATTTTTGAGATACTTGTGTTAAATCTTCATATTTTGAATTCTAGGGACACTGTAAAATTCAGAGTTTGGGGATTTCTATGCTTCAATATGTAGATTACTGCATAGTTCTCCTTCTCAAGAGCTCTGGGAAGAGCGCTCTGTGAAGAATAAAGTAGATCCATATTTTTTCTCAGAGATAGATTAAGCTCTTGAATAATTGTTTATGTCAAATTTTCAGTACTTGTGATAACCAGCTGTGTTCCAAGAAAGAACTGTGTATGTATGCTGGTGTTTCTTATATTTATATAGTTCTTATAGTTCTTATTGTACATCTTCTGCTCATGTGCTTTTGCTCCTGTGTTAGTTTTTGGGTTTGTTTTTTTTTTCTTTTTCCGATAAAAATTTAAAGAGTAGACTGCTCTATTTTTCAGGCAGACAAAACTTTCCATCACAGAATTGAACCAGATATATCGTACACTTAGATGTACATGGTGAGCAAAGCTGGAAAGAATGCAGTTGTAATTTCTAGATTGCAATGCCTTACTTAGAAGTACATTGATAACCAGTTGTTTTTAGCTAATAGCTAACGGCACATTTTGCTTCTTACACGAAAACACATTTCTTTCAGAGTCTTTACATCAACTTAACAGTCCTCACTGCTTGTTCTCATGCTACTTCGTATAATGGCATCCATTAATGCAAAACATAAGTTTTCGATTAAGATTTAAATACGAGTATAATCCAAAATTACTGAGTTAAGGTTGACTTTTTACTCAATTTTGACTACAGTACTTTTCGTGCATACTTGCTGGAATAGTAGGCACTGCATATTATACTTTCTCAGGTATCATAAGTTAGCAGGGTGAAGCACCTATCAGTCACATGGTGAAACGGTTATTTTTAGAGTAACTGTAACCTGTGCACAGTACACATATAGGGCTAAATTTTTAAAGGGGTCTCCATATTCCCTCTGATTTTTATATCCTCAGTCTATTTCATGAATATATGATAAGATTGAGATATCTGAGTTTTTGACTTCAGTCACTAATTGACATATCTTAATCCTTTCATATATGTCCATAAAATGAGAGGCCGTCTTTAAAAATTTCACCTAAAGTGCTCAATTTTGCCTTCAGATACCTCCATGCAACTTCCATTGAAGTAATTGGAGCTGTGCCTGCATATCTGATGGTGGAACTGGACTCATTGCAATTAAGGTACACGTTAACCAACATAGTCCTTTGGAATACTCACTGGGCCCAGTGTGACATTCTGCATGTGCAGAATTTCCTAGATTGATCCCTCTGAAGTGTGGGAGGTTGAAGATTATGATGGTAGTTTTATCTTTTGCCTTAAACTTGTAGCTGTAGCAAATTACAGTGAAGTTCTGCTGTATTTAGTTTCCCTACCTTTAAATAAGAAATGTGAAAGGAGGACATGAAAACATTCTTGACAGTGATATGTTCATATTTTTTTCATACCCAACCAGTGCACAGACAATTCATGATTTCCTCAAACTTGTTACGGGTGGTGCATGCAAGCACAGTTGTTGTTTGTACTTTAACACAGCTTAAAATATTCAGCTCTGAGGGTACTACGTACTTTTTTGTGTGTTCATGCTTGCAAAGCACAAACAAAAAAGTGTGAAGAATCCCATAGTTAAGTAGCAGCATAAAACTCACTTATGGTATCTTTGGTACCTTTAAATTCATAATGTAAATCTGTAAACATCATGATTGTACACCTGTTTTTCCTTAATTTAAAGTTCTCTTTGTTTTGTGATGGAAAAGTGATTCCATGAAGCCTTTAAATTGATGTCTGTCTCCTGTCACTGGACTGGGAGGGACTCTTAAAAACTAATCTTTGGAGAGAATCATACAAGTGGCTGATCCAAAATGGTTGATCCAAAAGCAGAAAAAGATTTTGTAGGGGTTTTCCCAAGTAAAACACAGGTCTTGAACTTACGGTTATACAAAAAAATTGCAACTAAAAGAAATAATTCTTCTTGGAAGTTATAACCTGTGAAAAGTGATGAACATAGTGAATGTTACTGTAATTTAGAATAGATACTGATGAATATTTGGGTGTAGTTTGAGAACTGCCACAGAGTACCAGTTTTCAAGGTTCTGGTTTTATTGGTATTCCTTTGCATTTGTAGTCCAACCAACTTTAAGAATGGCAGAATACGCAGTTCCCTCTGATACTTACGCACTACCACAAGGTTAACTTTCTTTAAGGAAGCTTTAGGCCAGGTATTTTCACACCAGTTTTTTCCTTTAGTGCATGGACATCTTCCTGTGGCAAGCACAGCCAATGTTGTCATTACTCGTTCAAATTGAATCAGGTACTCTTTACAGCACCACAATCTCTTGTAGGTTTAATATTAGATTTCCTTTTTTATACATAAATGGTAGGGAAATAAAAAATAGAAGAACATGCAATTTCTTTAAAGTAGAAGTGAGCATTATAAAGTAGAATTTTTAAAGGACTTCTTGTAAAAAAAAAAAAAAAAAAAAAAAAAAAAAAAGAATTATTGTATCTTTTAGTATAACAGGTTGAATAGAAAGATCATTTCCCTTAAAAAAAAAATGTTTAGCTATGGTAAGTGTTTAGGTATTAAGATAGTAATAGGATTTAATTGCTTTAAAAGCAAATTTTAATACCTGTTTAATGTATTAGTCATTAGAATGCTGCTGTAGTATTTTCTACAGTTAAGCACATATACAGGTAGATGATCATAGGCTTATGTCCTCTCTATTCAGACATTATAATGTTATAATCCAGTCTACCACCTAAATTCTTTCACTCTCTTCGTATCTGTTGCATCAGCTTGATTATATATAAGAAATTGAGATGTCTGCCCATTTTCAGGTAAAGACTTCTGGCGATGGAAGTGGTTGGTTTATTGATGTTAGTGCTCCTTTGTGATGTTTTTACACCCTACTTGTTTTACATGTCTGTACATTTCTTTGTTTCGTTTAGATGGAAATAAGTTAAAATTGTTGCAAAACTGGTTTGTTTGTTTGTGTGTTTTCCAGAAGATCTTTCACTCTTTTTAATTGATTTTCATTATGTGTTTTTGCAGCAAGCTTAGTAGTGGAGGAGCGAACAAGGCAGATGAAAATGAAAGTGCACCGTTATAATCAGACGTCAGGGTCTGGTTCTAGTCAAGAACATGAGCGTGAGCAATATACCAAGGTAAAGTTAGCAGTATTAAAATGATATTTTGGCTTGAAAATTGAAGATATAAAATGTCTATTTAAAATATTATACCACCTCAAGAACATTGTGTTATAAAGCTTGACAAAGAGTCTTCCTTAAGGGCTATTCAACATTGTTTTTACTCCCTTCATGTACTTTACACTTAGACTTTGATTTTACCTAAAATGCAAAAAGCAGAACACTTGAAAAAAATTATTCAGGGAAGAAGAATTCTTCAACAACTGTTAAACAGAGCCATGTCACCATGATTTTAAGAAGTCTCAAATCTACAAATTGCTGGGGGTTGAAATAGGAGACAAGAGAAGTATCCTTCTATGCTGATCCTGATCTTTTATTTTTCTCTAGGCTTTTGCTGCTGTGTCATATACAGAGAGTAAGGCATAATTAGATCCAATCTCATGCAGCTGTTTTCATATCTGTGTAATATTTTTGCTTCCTAATGATATCACAGATAAAGTATTTTCTTTTGGAAATACATACCTATTACCTTGATCTCCTTTTCCAATAAAAATGTAAAGATTTCCTTTGATTATTGAAGATATACAAAATTACATGAATGAAGTTATATAGACAGAACATAGATATTTTTGTTGATAATGCTGAAATGCTGTCCCACAGGCATGTAAGTTCAAATCTCTATAGACTTCTAAGCAATCTGCAGAAGATCTCAGAAATCCAGGCTGCCTCTCACAAGCCAAGATGTGAGGGGCTGGAGCTGAGTCATGCTGAAGTCCTGCTGCTTTTAGAAACCTAAGAGAGGGGAAATATCTGCAGAAGTTTCCTTTTTAGAGATGCAGCATACTGTTTCTGTAGTGTAAGTCAAGGGCAGAGACAAAACCAGCTATTCATTAGGGTTCGCAAAGAGCATTCCTGCAGTTCTGTTCTTCCACTGGCACCAAGGCCTACTCAGTAGTGGTGTGTTGGCAATGAGTAACCACGGGATGGCACTGCAAATGTAGAAGTCCACTGCAGAAAACTCAAGGACACATTTAACAGCCAAATATATTAACGATAAGATCTCAGCAGCAGTTTCAATAAAATTACACCTTCTAATAATTTAGACCTTAAGAGAGATTTTTACAAGAAGTTTTTCATATCACTAAGATCTAAACACGTTTCAAAAGAGACAGTCTTTCAGTGTGTGAAGTGGTAATGTACAGAAAACAGCAAACACTGACAGTTTTTCAAGAGCTGAGACGGCAGTATACTCCTGGCATTTGTTATGGTAGTGCAGCACCAGGCTTTTTGTCTCTGCCCCTCCCAAGTGCCCCTTCTTTGTGTTTTACAGTCTTGGTGCTCCTGTAGACACAGATTAAAATAATGAATAACAGAAGGTACTCAGCAGTACAAAACATCAGAAATTCACTTCAGAATGGGTAGTAGGCAATTAGGCATCTACTTTGTATCATCATCTTTTTACAGTTAAATATGAAGACAACTTTGTAATGAAGATATTTCCCTTTTTTGAGACCACCTCGCTGTGAACACTGAATTTAAAACAGGGAAGAAAAATGAGAGAAACAAAGCTTTACATCCTCATTTACCAATTGCCAGCTACAAATGTTACCCCCCTCCTGCCCAAAAAAAAAAGTATTGGCAGCGTGCCCTAGGTGGCCCTGCTTAAGCAGAAGTTGGACCAAACAGCCTCCAGAGATCCTTTCTAACCTCAGGCATTCTGTGATTCTGATCAGAAGTCAGAATTTGCATAATAATTTTAATATGTCATTTAGTATCATTTAATATCGTGTTGACTGTGTCAACTCAGGACAAGAGAGTGAGATGCAATGTGTCTTTATCAAACTCCCAGCGAGTTCGCATATTTCTAACTTGGCAAAATGATCTTGATAGTGTTTTCAGGAGAGAAAGGGAATGTGTGATGTGAAGACATTGTCAAGGATGACCAAATTTTTACCTTTTTCAGATTTATGATTTGGCCAGATTTATTATTTGGTATACTTTTCTAAGGCTAATGTAGATCTGGTGAATGGTTAAATGATTGGAAAGAAACAAACTCCAGAGTTTCACTTATCCACTCATGCTTAGCTGTTTCTATTATTATCTTTATTTTTTTTAAACATATGTGGAAATTAAAATTGAAATTTCAGCATTCAGGATACTAGATGGAAGAACTCTGCTGAAGTATTGTTTGTTCACTATGCCCACAACTCTGGAAAAGCAAATTCTCTGTCCATTTTTATTAAAAAAAATATTTTGGAAGTACATCATATTCTGACAGAGATGTCAGAATGCTATAAAAGAGGTAAAGAGAACGAAATACTTAAATCCAAAAATCTTTAACTTTTCTTGCATTTTCTACGTGATGTGGTATAGTAGGATGATCCAATGTGATAAATTCTTAAGTGCTGAGAACAAATTATATTGGCACATTTAAATATCTACACTGTATTGAGTGATGTAACTGCTTCATATCCCTGTGGTGACAGTGGACACTGAATATGTTCTTAAAGGCAAACCTAGTGCTGCTGTTTATCCTGTGAAGATGTCATCAAATCAGGAAAAAATAGACCAAACAGATGAAGATGTGACAGTTCTAATGAAGATGTAGTAAGTTGTGGCAAATAATCCAGTAAAGCTAGTGAATCTCATCTCTAAAGACTTAAGATTATACCTAATTTCTGGTGCCAAAATCTTTGAAAACTGTAGAAATAAAACTTGCTTCAATGGAAGACAAAAAAAAAAAAATGTTCAGTGGTCTAATAGTATAGAATAGCGAGAAAGAAATATAAAGTAGCTGTAAAAGAAACAAGACTTGCAAGCATAGTTTACTTGCAAGGAACTCTGCTTCCTATTTGAAAATAAGAAAATAAGTATTTATATTTATTAGAGAAACTGTGCTGCTGTACATTCAGAAAAAAACCCTTCAAAACAGCCAGTTCAGAAATACTTGCTTCTTCCTCTATTTTTTTTTCCCCAAATATTCTTGCTTTATTACACATACACTTCCATAAACCTCTTAAGATTTTACTTGTGTATGGAAAGAATTAATGTATTAAATTTAAATTTGCTCTTATTATTGACTCAAGTCAATACAATTTCCAATTTCTGTCTGGTGTTTTTCTTCCATTTTTGTAATTTTTCCCATTCAGTTTCTCAATTTCTTCATCTTGGTAGCCAAGAACTAGTTTTTCAAACATACACAGTGCAGTTGGTGTGTAACTATTTTTAAACATCTGTGTTCTAAACAACTAATTAACAAATTAACAAAATTATCAAAATTAACAAATTTTGAATAGCTAATTATCTACATCATTTATGCTGGTCTTGATGGCTCTTGTACGCTAACTGTACAAGACTTCTGCTACAGCTGTTCTGGCTTTTCAAAGATTGTGCAACACATTTTTTTAGGTCTGTATTTAAGAGTTACTGATCAGAGCACTGTTGTACTCTAACTACTTAAAAGTACATCACTCTATATTTAGGTGTGCTTCCAACTCAGTTGACACTGTATGTGATTTGAAATCATTTAGCATAAAATGTATAATCATGTCATTAGACTACTGGCAATCTAGATTTAGGTTGATAGTTACAGCCTACAAGGGTAGAATGGATAGGAGATATGGATAAGAGGATGACTACCAAAGTTTTATATAATGCTGAGCAGAGCCCCTGTGGCTGCAGGAAGAGATTCTTTTAGAGGCTGATGTCAGCAGTAACTTTTTTTGATTCCCCTTGCGTTGACATTCAAGTAAAAGTTATACCTATGTATTATTTTGATAGTCACTGCAATGCTGGTATGGTTTCAAAACATTCATTAAGATAAATTTGACTCCTGGGCTTTACTGCAACTTTTCCATGGTGTGACTTACTCATTTCTGCTGTTTCTGGTAAGAAAGATAAGTGAGGTTTGCAGTAGGTTGAGTTGGATATAAAGCCACCTGATACACTGGTATTTACTGGCCTCTTGACCATCACATGGGCTGCTCCTCAGACACAGACCCAGGTCCTGGCAGGAATCACAGACAGTCTAGGCACACCAAAGTGGTGGCTACCAGGCCTTGAATCCAGGCAACGTTCATAGGAACCCTCTGCAAATAGTCTTAAAACTGGGTGTTTTCTGCCATGATTCAGCATTTCCTGGCAAAATTCATCTTTAGAGTAAGGTGCCTCAGGAGGCAGCTGTATGCTCAAGACCGTCTATAAACCTAGATTCATTAACCTAAACCCCATTTGACTTTCTTATTTAAAACATTTTTGGACGTGCATTTTCAGGAGTTTGATACCTGAGGCTTTCTCTGAAGTCAAAGGAAGGAGCACTTGTTCACTTGTCAAAGCTCTTAATATTCTGTCCTCCAAATGTTGAGGACAAGTCTAGAAATAAAACTTATTAATATGAAAGATAATTTAATTATAATGAATTATTAAATTCTAAACTGTGTTAAAATCAGTAAATTGCTAATACTGCTAGTCATTATGCAACTGTGAAAGTATTTATGAAGTGCACTCATTGTTTTTCTGTGCTCTTTTCACTGGTGTCAACACGTTTGCAGTTCATCATAACCCTTTTGTACTCCTGTTGCTGGCGCAGAACTAACTCCATAGGTGGTAAAATGAATGGAGAACTGCATGTTAAGGGTTTGTATTTCTGATAGTTATATTGAAAAAAACATGTTTGCAATACAAAAGTGAACTAACAGTGCAGACAGTATGGAGATTTGAAGCTAGCTGTAAAATTCAGCAACCTTCCTAATGGGAAAAATAGTGCACTTCAAAATAGAAATGATACTCAGGCTTTAACTGTGTAAGAGATAGAGTTGAAAGGGAAGGAACTGCACTGCAAATTCACTTAGTTTGGAAGCTTCATGTAACATGTAAATGTGACATGATAGGGAAGTGCATTACACACAGTTATGCTGAAGAGGAGTAAGACTCTAGATGAGAGGGACTATATGATTTTACTGTTGGTTCCAACTGGAAAACTTGCAGGCATTACTCTACTGAGAGTATCAAATAAGAGGATCTCAGCTTGTGACATTTTTCCTCTGAAAGATTATTTCGGAAGTATTGTAACGGTAAAATAGTCTTCTTTTAATGATCACTAATGTAAGAGCTCTTTACTTCTCTCTGTGTTTGAAAGAAAAAAAAGTTAATTTCAATGTGCTCTCATTTTGTCCATCTGTTTCTTTCCCTTCTCCCTGCCCCTTCACATGATTTGAAATTAAAATATTCTTTCAAAGAAATTAAAAGAAAATTTTAAGTGGCAATAGTGGAAGTTATCTATATAGATTTTCTGCCCGAAGAAGTTCTCTAGAAACAGAACAAATCAAATGGTACAGCTATACTCAAATGCCCTGTGCTTTTACATCGGAGAATCTGCAAGAAAGAAAGGGAGAAAGCTATGTGAGTTCTTGAGTTTTTTGTCATCCTCTCAATCCATCATACAGGCTTTTAGGATTAGGGCTTGGGATATTAGTCAAAGTTACTGTTTGATTGCCAAACTGTACTGAAAAGGGTGGGCAGGAAATAAGAAGCTGACAATGTTTTATGCCTCCTTTAGATGGCAGGCAATTCAGCAGAAGGAATGGCTATGGGAAGAAAGAGCTAAACCCCTAAGAAGTAAAATGTTAATGCTGCAACACTCAACATTAGATTGCAGCCTTGCTACTTCTTGTGCTAATCTCTATATCCGCAAAGGGAAGGGTTCTCTCTTCCTTCGGAATCTCTATATTTAATGCTGCAGTTTTGATGTTGGAATACCAAAGCAGTAGGAGACGTGGCTTTAATTCTTTCTTCATCTCCCATCTCACAGTAAAACTACACATGCTGAGATGCTTTTCCTATTTTCAGGTGTGTCATCTTAGGAAAATGTAAAAGATTCCTTTAGGAATTATGTGGGGTTTTTGCCTAAAATATCAAGACTGGCTCAGTAATGGTGCTGTTAATTTGGAAAAAGTTAACCTTTTTTTTTTTTTTTTTTTTTTCAAGCCTCTAAACATTTTTATTTAACCTGACTTAAAAAAATATTTTCATGCTTTATTGCTTTGATTTTTTTGAAGCGTAGACTTCAGAAGAAAAATGTTACCCAATGAGTTTTGACGTAGAGAAACTGTGAGTAACACTAGAACATGTGCTGAGATGCTTAATTTGTGTAACTCCAGTTTTTCCTACAGACTCCTATTCTCACCATTTTTATTCCTTCCCATTCTCTAACCCAGTTAACTTCTTCATTTTACTTGTTTTAACAGGGGGTTCCCAAGTGTGCTATGGAGACCTCTAAGATAGTTGCTAACAGGCAACTAGTGGAGTACTAGAAAATAAACATGACTAGAGGATAGGAGGAGATACATTCATTTGTACAAACTTAAGATGATGTTTGCCAGGGTTTTTAAGCTAAGTCATGACATCTGCCAACTGGCTCAGCCTGCAATCTAATGCCTACTTCAGCTGGGGATACACACAGATGGTTACAACTTTGAGTAAAATTCATACATAAACTTCAATGACTTGCAGTTTTGTAGAGCATATCCAGAAAGTGAACTCTGTAGAGCATTCTGTCAGAAACTGCCTCATCTTGCCATGTGTTCATAGTTTTGACATAAAATGCCCTAGAAAGTATGCCACTGTTAGAATCCTTTCTCAGCCAACTGCCCCTTTCTCTCTAATGATAGTGAATTTCAATTTTGGAAACCTGGTTTCCAAAATTTCCTGGTTTTTGGAAACCTGAAATCAATGGTTTGATTCTCATATCTCTGTGACTGAATAGTTACTTTAGTTAATTTAGCTAAGTGTGATATTTCTGGGACTGAATTTTTGCATGTCTTATTGATGATGTGGGTAATACAAGTGTTGCATAAAAGATGGTATGGATTTTCAGTCAGTTAACTAACCAAAGTTTCTGCTTTTGATAAAAGTGTACCAATTTCTACCCCTCTCCGCATATTCTTCCTGGCAGGTCCTCTGTTAGTTCTTATGCTTGTGCACATGTAGAAAAGCCAGGTCAGGGAACCAATCCCCTTGAGAACAAATATTATTTTTACGGAGTTAGCTTTCTGCTTTACCGTTTCTCAAGTATCACAATACAAAGAAATAACTTAAGAATTGAAATCAACCCCTCAGAGCCAGCTTCTTGTAGCATAAGACTATATATCATTCAGACTATATAAAATTCTACTCTCGCAAAAGAACTCTGTGCAAGTATTTCATGGCATATTTTTTAGTATTTGAAAAGTTTAAAAAAATCTACCATCAAATATAGTATATGCATGTGCTTGAGAAGGTGTGCATACAATGCATAAATATTTCCTCATTGTAGTTCAAGAGTACTGAAGATGAGGCAACCTTTTAAAATTCCAGTGTTGTAATATATTTCAAGAATCTGATCTATTCCATAAATACCACTTTTTAATTCTTCATTAGACATACAGAGATGATTTAATATGAATGTTTCTCTGAATTCATCGAGTATCGTTAAATTGAAAAGCAGCTTGACAGAATTGTCATACTTAGGTCATTTGTTGTCTCAGTATATACATTCTGTTTTGATGAGACTCCTCACCCTTTCTTTTCTTAATCTCTAGTATAACATACAAACAGATCAGTACAGAAGTTGTGATAACGTCTCTGCCAAATCATCAGATAGTGATGTCAGTGACGTATCAGCCATTTCGCGAACCAGCAGTGCCTCACGCCTCAGCAGCACAAGTTTTATGTCAGAGCAATCTGAACGCCCTTGGGGCAGAATCAGGTGAGTTCTCAAATGCAGCTTCAATTTCATCACACCTCCTTTTTGTCTATCTGCCAAAATACAACCAGAAGTTGTACAAATACAACTGAAAAGCCACAGAAGAACTTAAGAAATATGCCTGTGTACATATAAACTATCTTCCGTTGCTAGCCTAAGATGACGGTAGTTTTTTGCACTTACACATCTACAACAGAAAGCCAAAGTTCCCATTAAGTTATGTATTTGTGGGAAGGTGGACATAAAGGCATATTATTATCTCATTACAGGTTGTGAATCAGTACAATCTACATGCCAGTAAGGTATTACAGCAGAAACAATGTAATTTTGTCATCTAAAGAATCTATTTCGTAAAATCTCTCTTTTTCTTCCTTTCTATATGACTATTTCCCTATATGCCTGCTTCTGTTTTGCTGTTTTCATGGATGATGAATTACTGGCTGTGAAACTAGTATTTATATAGTAATTTTAATATATCTACTTTGAAAGCTGTTTAATTCATTTGCATTATCAGTAATCAAATGTCTTTCATCCTTGATAGTAATTTACTTTTCAGTTTCATGTTTTTTTAAATATACAGATGGGATCTTGTCTTCGTTTAATTTGATGACAAAACTTCCAGCACTTACAGTGTCTGTAGCGTTGGCTTGTTTGTCGGTGTTAACATCTACAAATGTCTGAACTCTCAAAAATATGATTTTAAGTGTTAAAAGTCAGGGTATGAATTAGGAACCGTATAAATATGTGTATGTACATGCCTATGGAGAAAATCAATCTGATAAAATTCTGGGTGGCATCATATAATACTTCAGAACATTTTTAGACAGACTCACCACTCATGACATTTAGCTGAACGCTCTTTAATCTGTTCACGCAGTGGGGAGGAATGTCAGTGAAAATCAGAATGTGGGCTCAGTGTATGAGCTAGCTCCACTTTGATTTATTGTTAAAGAAAGTTCACAAGTATGTTCCAAGCCATGCTTTTGATGAGTGAACATAACCTGACATCTGCATTTATAATGCAGTCTGTAATCCAGAAGAACACAACAATGCAGCTCTAAATGTGAAAGTTATTCATGTGTTTAAAGTCATTTCAAATTATGTATTTAAATGTTGCATTTCAGTGCGGCCTAGCTTTTTTTCTATTTGTCTCTTACAAAGAGCTTTAGTCATTCTGAAATACATCTTTTTTCTAAATATTGGATTTCCTCATTTAGGCCTTGTCACAGTATTTGTGGCAGGCTGAATAATAGACAGTTTTTCCTATAACTATCTCTTTGTTGAGAAAGTTTTATCAGGGATATTCCTTGATTGCAGAATGTTTCATCACAAATATCGGAAGAGAATCAACCCAAGAGAGCCAGTAGCATTATGCTATGGGAGAAAGGAGAAAACCTGAGGTTAGAGCCTTGTCCTCATTCTACTTCTTCCATTCTGATGAGTAGCAGTGCATCCTGTCTATAGAGTAGGCCGACACTGTGTACAAAACCAATAGCCTGCCAGGGGAGCCTTGGCAGTCAGAATTCAGATAGAGCATTTGAATTCTATCTGATACTGTCCACAACATTATGTCTAAGACATGAGGTACTCAATACTTGCTTGCTTTTTTTTTTTCTCTTTAAGTTTGGATAGTACTTACATGGTGAACTAAATATATAGTAATAATATGCATATCTTTCATAGAAATACGAGGAAGAAATTAACATTCATATGTTACTCATAATTTTTTTTTTTAATTTTTAAGCCTAATGTGGTTTTGTTCCCCTAAAATACCCAGTAAGGTGAAAGATACCTAATGCATTTTACCCATGGAAACCCAAGAGGCCAACTGTCCTCTGGGATGCGGCAAGCTCAACGCTGCTAGCTGGGTGATGGGAGAGATTGTCCTTTCTCTGCTCTGCTCTATGTGAGCAGAGACCTCAAGTGCTGTGTGCAAGTTTCAGTGCCACAATGTCAGAAGGACATAAGACTATTAGAGAGTGTCCAGATGAATGCTCCAAGGATGGTGAAGAGTCTAGAAAGCAAGACATATGAGAAGCAGCAAAGGTCCCTGGGTGTGCTCAGCCCAGAGCAAAGAGCTGGAAGCAGAAGGGCAGGCTGAGCTCTGTTATCTGACAGCGACAGGGCCTGAGGGAATGGCATGGAGCTCTCAGGAGAGGGACAGCTGGAGGTCAGGAATACATTCATCTGCATACAGCAGGCTCCTCAGTGGGCACAGTCCCGAGCTGCCGAAGCTCAAGGAGCATTTGGACAACACTCTCCAAATGAGATCATTTCAACTATTAAATGCAATTAGTGAATTTTAAAATCTTTTTGATGCTATGTTGAGAAGCCTTTTATCCAATAGGTTAGCATCCGCTCTTCAGAATTTTTGATATGCGTTGCCGACACTTTTTAGTGATTGGATATTGTAGCTAAGAAAGATCACATTCCTTAGAGATGTGGAAAAATAGATATCATTGTGATTTTATATCAAGCAAGGTTAGAATGAAAGGAAATGGGATGTTTGAGAGAAGAGAAGGCCTTTTTCTTACAATCCGAGGGAAAGTTAGCTTCTTTGTCATCTGTGACAAGCAGCAGCTTCTGTAACACAGTCTTTAATCTCTTCTTAGCACAGTTTCTAATTACATAGGAGTAGAACGTTGATTTGGGAAAGGTTTGATTGTATTGTGAACAGTTTTCCAGAATGAGATTCAGCCTTAAAAGCTGTATGTCTACAGTATAATTTATATAAAATAAGATGTTTATTAAATAGTTTATGAAATTTGTCTAAAGTATCATTAGAAAGAAGAAAACTCCTTTTATCTTAGATTATTTTCTTCTTAAGAGAGGTCAAAAATGAGGCAAATATTTTTTTCTAGTATTAATTGTTAAGGGAACCTTAGATAACTGGTTAGTATTGGTTCTTTTAATTCTGACATCTAACATTAAGTTAAATTGATTCTTGTTCTTAATGTTTCCTTAAATTCTATGAACTAGAAATTTGAAGTTTAAGTTTGGTTACTAAATTGAAGTTCAGATGTTTTTTTTTCCTCTGATGAACCTGATGTTAGCATATATCAAGTTTGAGGAGAGGCGCTTAACTGAACAGGAGGGGCAAGGAAAAGAGCATTTTTGATCTGCTTGTATTCTATCTCACTGAAATCACATTTCCATCATCATCTTCACTTGGAAATGTGTCAGACAAGTGAACGTGGCAAGTGTATGCGTGTAATGTTACATTTAAGACCCAGAAGTTCTTTGAACTGCCAATTTTACGTACTAAGTTCTTTTCTTTGGATATCTTCTGAAAAATGAGAGCTGTCAAGAACTTAGTAAGCATATAGAAGCTCAAACAAGTTGGTTTAGTTTTACACATCTCACTAAATTAAGTTTATCAAAGTAATATGCTTCAGTACCTTTTGTGTTCAAGAGAAAAATACCAGCCTTCAGAATACACCAGCGAGATTCCTGCTCTGAATCACCTTTGGAAAGGTTATTTCCATCTCTCTCTCCATTGAGTTTGAGGAGACTGAATCCTACAGCTGTTCACCAGCAAGCAAACTATCCTAAATAGCGAAATTTAACTGGAGAGTACTGCAGCCTTCAAACGAGTAACCTGTTAAACTGTCCTCTTCTAGCATTCCTACACAAGCCTAAAAGTGCTGATTAGTTTTCATATTTAGAGTTCTGGTGTCAAATTTCTGAATGTGAAATAAGCCAGCTCATTTTAAGTCAGCAGTAGTTCTAGCTAATGTTGTTAGTCAACATAACCCTATCATGCTTCATTTTATTGCATTTCTGGAAAGAGATGTAAATTAAGCTGTTAGGCAAGTGAAAATACAGTACTGTCTTAGGGCTCTCAGTAAGAAAGCAACAACTTTGCTTTTTTGTGCAAAATATGGTACTCTTAAAGGTTAGAAGGACTGCAGTTTCAGGTCATAGTGACTGCAGTTTCTATCCAATAACTTTACCACCAGCTCCATCAGTGTTAACAGTTGCCTGACTTTGCCTTCTAAGTCCTCAGGAAGGAAAAGATCCTCAAAAAAAAGCTAGATAAAGCTAGAAGAACTGATCAGATTTTGATGATTTGAGATTCTATCATTTTGGATAATATGTGTTACCTTATATTTAGAAATATTTCTCTGTTTGAGCAGTTAAGACTTTTAAAACATGACAGCGCACCTTGTGGTTTAAAAATGTATGCAGGTTAGCTATAAATATGTAACTGTTCAATTCATACGGCAATTTTAATTGTGATGAGTTGCTCCTTCCACTACATTACATTCAAATTGCATTGATCATTATGCACATCATTTGTAAAACAAAATGCTGTTATAGTAAGGAGGAAATAAATTGATGCAGAACAACAAAGAAATACAGTTTATCTTATCTGAATAGCTAGATAACACTCCAAATGTTCCTTGAGTCAAAAATATGAATGTTTCTAGTATTTGAAAACTTGAGCATATTGAAGAAGCTAAGCAACTCAGAAAATAAAAAGCAAATCTTTCTGGTCTGTTGATCAATGACAAGTTTGTGTCTGAACCCTTTAAGGCAGAGGACTAATTTCATTCCCACAGTATAATTGTAATTGAATTACCTGTCAGAATGTTGTGACGTAGCATGCATCCTAATCTTCACTTTGGATATTCTGTTGATTAACAGCACTTCTAATGGAGATGTAATTATGACTGATGCCAGTTCTAAATAGGAGTATATAAACCAGCGTGAATGAACTGTGTAGGTCACTCTGAAAGTAATGCCTCCTGTTTATTTCCATGGAAATTACAACAGATACAAAGAGCCCGATAACACTATTTGATAGAGCAAATTCTTAGCTACAAAACATTGTTTTTCAGCCTAGCACCACCATTACCTATGCATTTTCACCAGTGATGACCAAGAACCTACATGCAGCGCTTGTAAAAATGTACACCAGAAATGAGACCCGTTGTTTCACAGCTGCTATGATGGCATAGTTACTTGGAAAATGTTTCTCACACAGTCCACTTTTCATTGGC